AGAAAATGCGTGCGGTCAAGTTAATGGATTCAGAAATTTGAAGTTGGCGACATTGTCCAATGTTCCCTCCCTTTTGATTGCAACCAAAGGGGCTCCTTGACACAGAAATGAATAAATGAAATTTAATAAATGCAAAAATTGAGTGTCGAGGAAACCGAGATGAGGGCGAAATAATTAATCATTAGAAAAAGAAACCAGATGCCAGGGTGAAGGGGTACCAGGGGGAGGTGGGGGTGCGGCCATGCTTAGTTGTTAGCAGGAAAGAAGTGAACAGCTGTTCTCGCTCGGTGCAGGTCGAAGAAAAGTTGGCCAGGTGCTCGCGTGGGCGAGGTGATGGTGGGTGGACACGCGTGCTGCGCAGTGTAGGCGTGGGCCAGGAGTGAAATGACGAGCCACCCCCCCCCGATCGAAATTTCGTCCAGCAAAAAGAGAAAATGTTTTATATTTATTTTGAAAGAAGAAAAAAAACGTTTTTTTATTTAAACGAATCTTCAAGATGTCGGTCAAGAGGAGGAGAGACTCTCCGGACAGATACGCGGACGAAGACCTTGAGGTGCGGCGCTCCATCATCCAACCAATTCATATGATTTTTCATGATTTTCGCCCTTGCGCCTGTTCACCTCGGCCCGATGTAGGACTCGCCGGACGAGGGCACGACATCGCCCCCCACGAAGACAAAGGCGAAGGCGGCTGCCCCCGCTGCCAGCAGCAGCAAGAAGAAGAAAGAAGAGCCTTCCACATCCACTGAAGCCAAGGCCAACGAGTGGGAGGTATGACCTCACACAACACCATAATATTGTTCGCCGTGCGTCTCACCTGTGGGTGATTACAGATCGGTTCCAAGAGGAGAGTGACAGTGTCCAAGTACGCCCTCTCAGCTACAGCATCAAAGGAGCAAGCCATTATCAACCTTGCTCACACCACACGACACACGACACACGACACACGACACACCACATCACGGCACATGCACCACTGCACACACGCGCAGGTTCCGGAATCAGCTTAAGATCGATATCCGGGAGTACTACGAGAAGGATGGTGAGCTGCTACCTGGGCGGAAGGGCATCTCGCTCAACGAGCAACAGTGCGTCCACCTCACTGCACACTAAGGGCCTGTCTGTCTTGGTCGGTGTGCACATTTCCTGACACTGCAAACGCAGGTGGCAGAACCTGAAGGACATCATCAGCGAGGTGGATGCCGCGCTTGGCAAGTGAACAGTGAGATGTCGCCCCTTGGGTCCATTATATTTCGAACGCACAGCACACAGGTCCGGCAGGGGGCTGGGCAGAGCTAGCAAACCACGAAGACAGAGAGCCAGGCCAAAGAGACCAGCAGCTCTTTTCGCTGTGTTGTGTTCTGTGTTTTCGTTTTGGTTAGTTCGGCCTTTCCGCTCCACGGCTCCCTCTCGTCTGTCACTCGAATTTCCACTTTCTGGTTAACGTGCTCGGTAAAAAAGAGGAATGGGTCTCAAATCCGGGAAATAAGGCGCTTTTTACCGAACAATTTCCCACCACATGAGCCTGTCGGCACTAATCAGACTTTGTGCAATACGTGTGGGTGGTGAACTCGTCAGACGTCCTTCCTGCCTCTGCCGTCCTCGCTTCTTTCCTCTGCCCTCTTTCCGTTTCGGTTCTTGTCTCCGGCAGGCCAGTCTCTCCCTCGTTCGCTCGCACGCTCATCTGCACGAATCACCTCACCTCATCCACACACAGCTACAATGAGTCGTCGCATCGAAGCCCTGGAGGAAGAAGCCACCACGACGGGTGCCGCTGGCGGAAGCCCTCGGTCGACCCAGTCGCAGAAGAAGATCACTGTAAAGCTGGCGAGCAACCTCTTCCTCAACCTCCCCGAGGGTCTTTCCGAGCTCTCCTACTCGAGGATCGGCAAGACTCGCATGATCGCGTGCTTCATGATCGACGGCAGTGACCGCTGTACGCCTCCCCCTCCCCCCTCAGAGTGTGGCCACACTATCTTTTTATTAGTCTGGTGGGTCGGTGTCCCCAGAAGATGGGTCTTTGGTGTGGCGCGCTGCGCGTGGTCTCACTGTCTGACATCTGTGACATTTCATTGTATTCCACATCGTCTTTCTCCGCACTCTCCGTGCTCTTTCCCTGTAACGAGTAATATTACACTCTGGCCAGCTCCCCCGGGTGTAACTATAGTTACAAATATTAACACTGTGTGGCTTTTGTCAATTGAACAGACACCGCCATGACCATCAATGCCATCAACAGCTTCCTCAAGTCCACGCCTGAAATGCACGCCGGTACGTCGTCAGCGCTCACGTCGCCGACCCGAAAGGGTGCACCTGCGATTATCCCCACTCACGTTGTTGTTGTGTGGCCACTCCAGGTGTGTTGGTGCCGCCCTCGTGGGGCCTCAGCATTTTTGCCACGCGCGTGGTGCCCCAGCTGATCGCTCCCGAGCGAGTCATCTTCAAGAAGTGGGGCCAGCACTTTGCCCAGTGGAACCCCACCCAGGTGCGTACTCAGTGAGCCTTTTCAGTTCAGCTCTTGACTCTCCCGCTGAAGCTCCGTTCGACGCTCACACCTCTACTCCCTCCGGCCACACAGTACAAGCTCGACATTCTCCAGTTCGCCGACGAGTACGACGTGGTCCTCTGGCTTGACTCGGACACCATTGTGGTACGGACGTGGGTGGCGGTCGTTCTCAGGCGTGGGTCACGTGGATGGTCCCAACTAACATCACATACACATCATCAAACGACACTGCGACAGTATGACGATCTGCGCCCGCTGTTGTTCGCCTTCTACAAGTCGCCGGCCAAGTACATGTTCGTGCGCGACCATGTGTGCTTCCTCCCGGAGTTCCTCAACAACTACCCCTTCAAGGACAACAAGGGCGGCGCCTTCGTGCCTCAGGTACACCAGCGATGGCCCAACTCGCCCTTCACTCTCCTGGAGGGCGCTCACCGGTGATTGCGACCTGCGTGTGATCTGTGGCACAGGCGTGCTTCATGGGATTCAAGGCCGAGCACATGAAGCGCCTTTTCAACGTCTGGGAGGACACCTGGAGGCAGTGGATCGAGCCGGAGCCGTTCAAGAACTTCGCCGACCCGCTCCCGTCCTTCCCTGGCAGCAAGTTTTGCATTGAGCAGTACGCTCTCGGACACGCCCTGGTTCTCGCCGAAATCGTACGTCGCCCTCTCCCCCCACAAACACCTTCTCTCCGCCGTCACTTGGCCCTGCGTGCTCACCGGGTCATGCCATACAGGGCGAGGAGGACATCCTGGAGATCGCGCGCTCCCACATCGTCCTCAACACACGCAACCCCAACCAAACGGGCCAGGCGTCCACCAACGGCGCCCACCATGCCGGCTATGCGTACGTTTTTCTATTTGCTCCCTGATGGCGATGCGTCGACGTGCGAGGCTGACGCCGAGTGCACGCGCAGTGGGCACGGTACGGGGAGCGGCGCTACCGGGTACGGCACGACGGGCGGAGAGGCCCAGCGCCAGGCGGGTGCCAGCGTGCTGTCCGGCTCGACGGCCTACGCGGGCCTGCCCTCGTCCCAGTTCCTGGCCACGTCGGCCTTCCTCGCCTTTGCCTCGGCCAGCTCGTCCTACGGCTCGTCCTACCTCGGCTCCTACCCCTCGTCCTACCTCACCTCCTACCCCTCGTCCTACTGGTCCTCCTACTCCTCCTATGGCGTCGCCACCGGCGGCACCATCACCTACTTCGGCTCGACCACCACCGACCTCCACCAGCGCAACGCCGCGGGCCAGGCGGGCGCCGCTGGTTTCGCTCCGGGCACGGAGGGCGGCCAGGAGGGCAGGCATGCCTACCCCGACCTCCCCGAGCACATCGCCGTACGTCCATACCATACGCTCCCTCCCCAACTCTACGAAACAGAAGAAGAAGAAAGAAGAAGAGCTGACGTTCTCGCGGCGCTGGTGGTGCAGATGGACAACCTGGGCGCGTGTGTGGTGCACTTCTACAACAGCTTCTACGACGCTGCCCACTACTGGTGGACCGAGAACGAGCAGTCCATCGTCAAGGCCCTCAAGCCCCAATAAGCGCCGCAACAGTGTGATGCGTCACGCCACCACAACCTTGTCCTTGCCACTCCAACGCCTTTTGCCACAAATACAAGAAGCCTCTTGCTCGTCGCCCTCACAACAGGGCGCCTGTTTTGTTGGGTTCTGAATGCGCGGCATTCCACCGAACAGCCCGAAAAAGTCGACGTGGTGCGCATTTCATCACTCTCTGTTTGTCTCCGTCTGCTCCCCGCTAGCCAAAGAGCCATGGGAAGCGCCCCCTCACTAGAAAAGCAAGGTGCCCTTGCCCCCCCCCCGCAAGCAGCCCACAATGCTAGCAATACTCGAAGACATAAAATGAATCAATAAATTAATCAACTAAATATTTGAACTCAAATAAGTAAATACAGACACATGAATAAATAAATAAATAAATAAATAATCAACACCCACAACCGGGTGTGGGTGCACGGGACCTTGACTTTGGCGCCATGTGCAGAGGTGAGCGCTCGTCCTCCAGCGGTGGAGACGCGTGGGATAGTGGTGGCAGGGGCAACCTATGGCGACCTGGACCGTCCTGCCCGGTGTGCCGATGTCACCGACGCGCTCACGCACCTCCTCGAAAGCCAGCAGTCCTTTGGCACGTCGCTTCCCTTTTTTTTTGCGTTGTCGCCCGCTCCACCCACGCTGGCGCACAACCGCGCTAATACCCGGGTGCGCAACTTCACGCGGGCAGGGCTAGGACGCCGCTTTTACCTCTCCATCCCCAAGGGTGCGCACCACCACACAGTCGCCATGTGCGCTGCCGCAGTGCTGGCGATCCCAATGGCTGACGCTTTTTTTTTGGCTGATGGGCGCACGACGCAGGGAGCAAGAACGCGCTGCCCGGATTCACCGACCCAGCACCGGGCGTCGACAAAAAGCTGCGCGTGGTACCTACCACCTGCATCCCCCCTTGCGCGCGCTCCGCCAGCTGGTCCTGGTCGACGTCTCAGCTGGCGGGCGGCTCACCCTCCTGCTCCTCTCTGCCGCCAGGAATTGTTCGTGGATGGCAACCCCGTGGAGCACACCCTCGGGGAATACGCCCCGCTTGCCGTCGCCTCCCGTACGCAGCTCCCCTCCATACACCCTCTTTCCCATCTTCCTGGCCCGTTGCACGGTCTAAATGTGGGGCGGGGGGCGTGCATGTGCAGAGTTTTACCTGGAGGGAGATAAGCGCGATCGGTTGCAGAAGACCACCTACTGTATGTGCGCCCTCCCAATGCGCCTTCGTTCCTCACTCCCTCGTTCCCCGCCGTGTTTGCCACACGCACACGCACACGCACAATCGGGACCGCTCTGCAGTCGAAGAGGAGGAACTCCAGATGCTCTACGAGGGATTTCTGGCAGCTGCCTGGCCCCACAAGGTTCCGTTCCTCACCACTTCCACCACCGGCTTGGCACGATTGCTCAAGTTCTGCTGCTACCACATCTCTCTCCCTCTCTCAACATAGGAGCTGTCGTCGCAGCAGTTCGTAGATCTGTTCCCGCAGGTATCTGCCCACTGCCACTGCCACTTCCACTCTCCTCGCCCTCTCTCTTACACTCGCGTGCGCTTTTAACCTTTTTCGCCGGGGTGTCTAGTTTGGCGACGCCAAGGTTCTGGTCTCGCTGTTTTCCTGCATGGACGCCGACACCAGTACCTCCTTCCCTTCCTCTTGTGCTCTCATCACACTGGGTGGGGGGGCAAGGACGCTGATTGCGCGTGCGCGGTATCATCCTTCTCCTCCTTTCTCTCCCCTTTTCCCTGCCAGACACGAGCGTCGACTTTGCCGAGTATTGCCGCGCCCTTTCCATCATTGCTCGAGGCAGCCTCGACGAAAAGATCGACCGTACCCTCCCGCCAACTCGCAAGCGCCTCTCTGTCTCTTTTCTCCATCTCAAGCGCCCTCTCTCTTGCTCCTCTCCCGCGCGCACGCGTGTGTGTGTGCGTGTGCGTGTGTGCGTGCATGAATTCAGTGGCCTTTTCCATTTTGGACCTGGACAAGAATGGGCTCGTCGAAAGGGACGAGGTCATGCTCACCGCGCAGGTCGGTTGCCTCCTCTCTCATCCTTCCTTTGACCACTCGCACTAACCGCGCGTGCGCGTCTTGATTCGACCTCGCTTGCCGTTCGCCCTCCTTCGCTCAACCACAGCACATGAGCGAGACCATGGTACGACCGCCCAGGTCTGCAAATGACCTGAGTCCGCCTTCCTCACAACCCACCCACCACGTCGTGTCGGCGCACAGGTTCGCTTGGGATACGACGAAGAGAGCTTCGGTCAGGTTAGTTAGTCGGCTACACCATCCCTCCCGCTAGCAAACGAACGTGGCCTGATATCTTCCCCCCCCCCGGGTGTGTGACCCAGGCCGAGGCGTTGGTCAACCTGCTCTTCCAGCGATCTCGCGCGTCCACGCTATCCTCCAGCAGGCAGGACCTTGACGGGTACGTGGCGCGGCGGCCACCTTACGGGCCTCTAGGGGTTGGTTGTTGGCTGACCTCTCTCGCGTGCGTGCAGCAAGGGCAAGGCTGTCAGCCGTGCCAAGGACCACAAGGCCAAGACCGCCCCGCGGTACCGCTCGCCTTGCCCACTTGCCGCCTCGCTCCCCCGCCTCACGACTCCACCGCTCCCCCCCCCAAACAACTAGCCTGTGGGGCGTGTTGGGCATCACCACCAGCAGCTCTCAGGAGCCCTTGCCCGCCGCTGATGGGGCTGGTACATGCGCCTCCTTCCCACCATGACAAGCAACATGGCGCGGCCGCTTTGGCAACTGACCCATTGGGGAACATGTGCGGGCCGGTGGCGGGTGAGGCAGGGCTGGCGACGTCTGCGTTGGGGGCGGCACTCGAGGTGCAAGGGGAAGAGCTCGAAGAAGACACCACCGAGATCGAGGAGAAGGACGACGCCACGTACGTTACTTCCCCCTCTGCTCCCCAGGCAACTCAGCACTACCCCACCACCGTTGCATTTTTCCTAAACCTGGGTGATGGGTGGGCTGGTGGGTTGTCCAGGCTCTATTGGAACGCCCTCAATCGGGAGATGTTCAAGGAGCGTGCTCGCAACGAGCCCGACCTTGCCCAGTGGTACGATCACCAGCCCGATAACATTACCGTCTTCGTATGTGCTGTGATGTGGGGGAGCGTGTGACTCATCAATTCCCTCCCGTACGCGGGTAGCTTTGGCATGTTCGATTTCTTCCGCGACGAGATTCTCTCGCCCATCCAGAACCTCGTACGCACTCCTGCCCCCTCCCCCACTACGCCCTTTCTCATGTGCGCCAAAGCTCACACGTGGTGCTCCTCCTGCAGCTGGGCGAGACCAAGGAGATGGAGATCAGCGGGTGGCTCGACAAGGACAAGGTGCTTGCCTTGCCTTGCGCCTCCGGGTATTGGCCGGACAGGTTTTCAGGCCTTACACCCGCTGTGTGCGCGCGTGTTACAGGGTGATGGTGCCCTGTACCAGGCAGTTTCCCTCCTCACGTCGGATCGGCGCTGGTTCGTCATCCAAAACGGCTTCCTCTCGTACCACAAATCCAACAAAGAGGTACGCACGCCACGTCTCTCGAGTCGCGCTCTGGCCAACCATGTCTGGCTTTTACTTACCCGCCGCCATCGCCATCTCCACCACCGGCAGCTGGACAAGCCCCTCAACGTGATTGCGCTCCGATCTGCCAGCGTCCGGGCCGGTCCCTCTCCTGCGAATTGGTAACCGTGCCTTTCCCTCCAGACACTGTTCCTCGCCTCATTCCCCTCACCCTCCTTCATCGCGATGGCCTGCTCAGGTTCATGTTGCAGACGCCCTCCTTCTGTCGCCATCTCTTTGCCGAGACCAGAGACGACATGAAGCGCTGGGTCAACATCATCCGCAACAACATCAAAAACGGTGTGACCCACAGCTTCCTCGATGCGGCTGAGTCCTCGTTGCTATCACGATCGCTAATTACAGTGTGCGTGTCCACCAACAGAAAACCGCTTCAAGTCGTTTGCGCCCATTCGGGAGGGCATCAACACCAGGTACGCCCCATCCCGGGGCGATTGGTGGATGTAACCGTACGCCAGGTTGAGTTGTGTGTCATGCGTCGCTCGTGCAGATGGTTCATCAACGCGGCGCCTTATTTCGAGGCCCTCCTCGAAGTGCTTCCCCTGGCCAAGCGTTCCGTCTACATCGCTGACTGGCACGGCAGCTCCCCTCCCCTCTGGGTTGTTGTGGGTAATGCATGCACCGATCTGGGCTCACTCGAGCGAGTGGCGGGCGGGAGAGCAGGTATTTCGCCCCGGGCCTCTACCTCAGGCGAGGCGCGCAGCTGGACCCGGCCCACCGGGTCGACAACCTCCTGAAGGCGTACGTCCGCGACCAAGACCAGTCTAAGTGCCCATTGCGTCGCTGCTGCACCCTTGCTTCTGTTGCAACTCATATGATGCCTCGGTGTGGTGCGTGCGTGCGATGATAGTGTGGCTGAGCGGGGCGTGCAGGTCTACATCATCGCGTGGAATGCGCCCCAGTTTGCCGGGTTCGCTCTCGAGAGGTGAGTCTTCCGCCTTTGCTCCCGTTACTTCCGTGTGAGTGGGCTGACTGACCCACGCGTGACCCATCATCCCAGCCGCTACGTGACGGACTACATGAACGCGATGCACCCCAACATCCACGCCATCCGCCACCCCAACTTCACGCCCATCACCTGGTCCCACCATCAGAAGTTCGGTAGCTCCCCCCTTCCCCCCCTTTCAATCTACCAACCACCTTCGCACACCTCGACGACCCTCATCGCCATTCCTCCTCCCTCTCGAACGCGACAGTGGTGGTCGACGAGGAGGTGGCCTTCGTGGGTGGGGTGGACCTGTGCTACAACCGCTACGATGACTCGCGCTACCTCCTGGCCGACCACGACTCGTCCGTCTTTCCCGGCAGGTGCGTAGCCCCGCCCACCTTCTCTCGTACACCCGCCCTCTAACCAGACGCGAGTGCAGGGACTACGGTAACCTCAATTTTGCAGGGGAGGCCAACGGCAAGCCCACCGAACACGTCCTGGACAGGAGCACCACCCCCCGCATGCCCTGGTTCCGTTCCCACTCCCTCCCTCTCCCACTCTTCCCTCTTGGCCTCTCCAAAGCCCTGCAATTAATTGCTCACGACGGCCGTTGGCCGGCACAGGCACGACATCCACATGATGGTGGATGGTCCGGCGGCCCGTGACGTCGCCTGGAATTTCATCGAGCGATGGAACCACGCCTTGCGGTACGGCTTTTTGTCACCCACCACCCATCCACCACCACCGGTCCTAACTCACCCTCACTCTTGGTGTGCAGAAATGGAAGCGGGGCGCAGCTGAAGAAGCCCCTCCACATGCTCCCGCATCACCGCGACGAGGGTGCGACCTCGCCCGCGGCCTCTCCGTCGCCGCCCGGCTCTGGCTCCGGCTCGCGGTTGACCAGCTTCGTCAACGCGCACAGCCCCTTCTCCTTCCACTCCACCTCCCCCGTTCCCTCGCTCCGCGCCTCCTCCTCCCCGCTCTCTTCGCTACGCTTCTCCGCTTCCTCGTCGTCGCCCCCGGCCGAGCGCGCCGCCGGTACCTCCTTCCGCCCCCCGGCCTGACCACGCAACGTGCACGATTCGTGCGCACTCCTCACGTGACATCGTCTTCTCAATCGGGCAGAGGTGCTTCCCGTACGCAAGCACGTGGAGGCGCTGATGGCCGCCGGCCGGGATGACACGGCTACGAATTGCCGCTGCCAGGTCATCAGGTCGGTGTCCAACTGGTCCGCCGGCTGCCCCGAACCCGAGCAGAGCATCTACAAGGCACCCCTTTCCCTCCCACCTCTTACGGGGAACGCCGCCGCTCACATTTCCTCGTCTCTCTGCGCCCCTGCCTGTTGTCGCCTTGTTGGTGGGAGCTAGGCCTATCTCACGGCCATCAAGCGGGCGAAGCACTTCATCTACATCGAAAACCAGGTACGGCCCCTTTCTTCGTTCCGACTTATAGATCTCAATTGCGGCTCGGGCGGGTTTTCTCACACCATACCGTGACCTCCCCCCCTCACTCGAATCGGATCATCAGTACTTCATTTCGTCGATCAACCGCATCAGGCCGAAGAACCGCATTGCCGACGCCCTTTACCAACGGTATCAGCGCATGGCCCTCCGCCTCTCTCCCCCCCCACAGCCATGCGTTGTCCTATCAGTGGTGGTGGCAGTGCGTAATTGAGCGAATGGTGGATGATTGGCTCGCGTGCAGGCTTCGCATCGCCATGAAGAATGACGAGGACTTCCGTGTGGTGGTCGTGCTCCCCGTCTTCCCGGCCGGCGATCTGGTGCGTTCGCGTACAACCTGGCCATGAAGACCAACTCACCGATGAATAATTTTGCACGCGCGTGCGTGTGAGTTGCGTGCAGTTGTCGGCGACCACGCGCTACATCATCAAGTACGTGTACAAGGCTGTCAGTCGCCAGAAGAACTCCATCATCGAGAAGCTGGAAGAGGAGTTCCCCGACAAGAGGACCTCCGACTACATCTCCTTCTACTCCCTGCGTACGTGGGGGCGGCTGCAGGTGCGCACCACATCCGCGATAACGATCGGCTTCGGCTTCGGCCTTCCACCCATGCATGGCCCACTGACCACGCACACTCTCTTTCTCAGCCCGAGGGCGGTCCCGTGACCGAGCAGGTGTACATTCACGCGAAGCTCATGATCGTGGATGACCGCGTAGCCATCATCGGCTCCGCCAACATCAACGACCGCAGCATGGTATGCCCTCATCGGCCCCCGCAAATTGTCACCGTGTGGGACGCAGCTCAGCTGTGGGGGGGGGACGTGGCGGGCATACACAGCGCGGAACCCGGGACTCGGAGATCGGCGTGTTGCTGGAGCCCGAAGAGGCCGACCTCATCCCGTCGACCATGGGCGGCAAGCCCGTCCTCGTCGGCAAGTTCGCCCACTCCCTACGCACCCGTCTCTGGGCCGAGTACCTCGGGGTGCTGCCTCCTTCCCCTCCAACCCACGCACTCTGCGACCCAACGATGAATCTGCTGACGTGGCGCCATTGATGGTATTCAGGCCGTGGGTGATTCGCCTGAAGCGGTGAAGGTGAGGGAGCAGCTGCGCGATCCGGTGGTCCATGAGACCTACACGTCGGTGTGGCGAGCTGCAGCCCTCTCCAACACCCGCATCTTCACCAAGCTGTTCCCCGGACTGCCGGACACGGTCTACACGCTCGCCGATCTGAAGAAGGCCCAGCAGCTGATCGAGGCCAGCCGCACCGCCGCTCCCTCCCAGCGGCTCGAGCAGGTAAGGAAGTCTTGGCGACAGGACTACCCTTAAAAAGTGCAGCTCACTGATGGCCCTATCTATCGAACGTGTGAGAGTACAGTGGCACCTCAAGATGCTCGACGACCTGCAGGGCGTGCGTGGGTTCCTGGTGGAGTTCCCGCTGCTGTTCCTCAAGGACGAGCAGATGTCGCCCGCCATTTGGCACAAGGAGTACATCCTGCCCCGCAACGTCTTCCTCTGAAAGCAGCCCTCCGCCGCATCCACGACAGCTGCAATTTTGTGACATTTTTCATTTTTCATTTTTTTGTATTTTCTTCTTCAAAAAGAAAAGAGCAAAAGAGCAAAAGAAGAGAAACCCAAACCAAACCACAAGATGAACGGCAACGCGACCACGCAGCAGAGCGCGGACGAGGTCTGGAGCGCGCAAGCGGAGGCCGAACTGTTCGATGGGCTGGAGCGGTACCCGCCCGTTGGGGCCTGCAAGTATTTCAACGTGGCCAGTCTGGCCGCGCTCCTCCGCCGCAACGCCCACCTCCACGTCTCCCCGGCCGCCCTGTGGCGCCGCCTCGGCTCCCTCTACAACCTCCCTCGCCTCGTACTCTCTACCCCCCCAAACCGCCCCCTTAACCGCCCCCCCCCCGCCACCTTAACCCCCGTGGCCCTGGTGCGGCGCAGGAAGAGGAGGAGAGCCAGGAGTTCCGGGCGGTCGTCAAGTTCAAGCCACCGCCGCCGGACGAGGATGGCGACAGCAAGGAAGAGGAAGAGGAGGAGGAGGAGGTGACGCCGGCTGGAGAAGAAGACGACGACAGAGAGGTGGTGAGTTCAGGTGAAGAGGAGGGCACGGCGCCTCCGAGGGCGGTGCGAGGGCGCGGGCGTGCCGGTGTGCGTGGGCGCGCCGCGGCAGTGGTACGGGGCAAGGGGCGCGCTCGAGGCCACGCCAAGGCTGACGAGAAGGAGGAAGAAGGGGAAGAGGAGGAGGAGGGTGGCAGTGATGATGCCGATGCTGATGCTCGGCCTGCCAAGCGTGCCAGGGTCGACCGCGCAGTGCCAGCCCGTGGTGGCGTGCAGCGCCAGGCCCGCAACCAGCGAGACGACAGCGACGATGAAGAAAAAGATGATGAAGAGGAGGAAGCAGATGAAGAAGAGGGAGAGGAGGAAGATGACGATGACGACAATGACGCGATGAAGGGAGAGAAGGGGCGGGTGGGGGCGGGGCATGGCGGGGCTGTGGGAGGCGGTCGGTTGGCGGCGCGCAAGGAGAAGCTGGAGGCGGCGTTCGAGGAGATGGCGACCAACAGCCGGCTGAAGTACGCCAGCTTCACGGAGCTCATCTACGCCGCGCTCAAGACGCTGGGAGGGTCGGCGGAGCTGCAGCAGATCTACGACTGGGTTGGACGTGATGAGAATTGGAGACGGCTTGACAAGAAGTGTATGTGTACCCCCCCACCACCCTGATATCTTCACTTCTTATGAGAATGGCAATCACTAATCATTGATTGGCCTGTGTCTCGTTTGGTTGTGCTGCCACTACACACAATCAAGATGCCAGCAGGTTTGAGAACAGCTCCTCCAACTACAAGAGCAACATACGAAGCACGCTCTATTCCAATTCGCTGTTCATCAAGCTTGATGGTTCTACATGGTCCATTGCCCCCACTGAGCTTCAAGTCAGCAAAGGCAAAAAGGGGGCAGGCAAGAAATAGTTTTGTGTGGAACAGCTTGTTCAAAACAATGATGATGATGTAGCATGACAAGTGGACATGAGTGTGGCTTCATTTTGGTGTATCAAACCAGCCCCAGTGTGAGCCATCCCATGCACATATCTGCAGACCACAAGCAAAGTGAGAGACTGCTAACAACACACATGGACAACACAATGAGGAGGAATTGGGAGGCCTGCCTGCTTCACTTCCAGGAAGGCGTCCAAGCCCCAAGGCCCCAGCTCTCGCCCCATGCCCGACTTCTTCATGCCACCCCAGGGCGCCTGAACAAACGCTGGCTGGGAACAATTCACCCACACCACTCCTGCAGGCCCAAAGAGAGTCAGAGGCCACAGGAGACAAGGGTCACCGTGGTGGGATGGACAGCTACCTGTGCGGAAGGCCCTCGCTACTCGCTTGCAGCGCTGCGGGTCTCGTGACAACACAGCAGCGGCAAGCCCGTACGTCGTGTTGTTGGCCTCTTGCAATGCCTCCTGTGCAGAAGGGGTTGGTGGCTGTGCGACGTGTGCGTGTGTGTGCGTGTGCGTGTGTGTGTGTGTGTGCGTGTGTGTGCGTGTGTGTTGTGTAGAAGTGGTTCATACCTCCTCTGTGTTGAACGTGCGGATGGCGAGCACCGGCCCAAAGATTTCCTCGCGCCACAACGCCGAGTCTTGAGGCACGCCCCGGAAGATCGTGGGCTCAACAAAGAAGCCCTGACTCAAATTGGTGGGACGGCCTCCTCCAGCCACCAACTCAGCGCCATCTGCTGGGCCCAGCAGCGGTGAGTTTGGTGAGTTGGTTGGGCTTCGCTTCACTCACGATTATCGTAGTCGTCGTCATTATCATCAGAATGCAATCAATGGCGAGGGGAGGGGAGGGCATGCCTTGCAGGCCTGTCTGAATGTAGCGGAGAACTTTGTCGAGCTGCGGCTGAGAAATCAGCGGTCCCATGCACGGAGGCTCGCAAGTGAGGGGGTCCCCGAGCCGTAACTTCTGCACCTCTTGCTGCAGCTTGCGCACCAGCTCGTCGGCGATGCTCTCCTGCACAAGCAACCTGCCTGCATACATAATCACAATTCAGACTCCGTTCAAGTTACTAACATACATTTCAACATATATAAAAGAAAAGAAAATAAATGTATAGATATGGCGGGGTAGTGCTTCTTACTGGTGGCGGAGCACACTTGTCCCTGGTTGAAGAAGATGCCAAACATGATCCACTCAACGGCGGCATCCAGGTCTGCGTCCTCGAAAACGAGCATTGCGCTTTTGCCTCCCAGCTCCAGGGACACCTGCACAGGGAGGTGGTACGGGCAGTGATGATGACGTCAGCGGTGAGCTCCAGGGCGCCCTCTCCCCTCCTACCTTTTTGATGTCCGGCACGGCAGCCGCCAAGATGCGGGAGCCGGTAGCAACGCTCCCCGTAAATGAGACCTTGTCGACTCCTGTGTGTGCGACCAGGGGAGCGCCTGAAGAGTACTCGGCGTAGCGTAGCGTCAATAGAGACCGAGGCTTCAAAGGGGAACTTCAACGCGGGAGTGGTGGTACCCGTATGCGGGCCGTCACCGGGGAGCACGTTCAGCACGCCGCCGGGGAGACCGACGGTGTGGGCGATCGCCGCCAGCTCGAGCGCGGTGAGCGGGCTGAGCTCCGAGGGCTTGAGCACGACCGCGCAGCCTGCAGCAGTCACGCAGGCGGTCAGCAACAATTGGTGCTTTCCCAACCATTACTTGATTGAGGCGTGTGCAGCGACTTACCCGCGGCCAGTGCGGCGGCCACTTTCTGGGTGGCCATGAGCAGCGGGTAGTTCCAGGGCGTGATGGCCGCCACCACGCCCACGGGCTCCTTTCGCACGCTTACGCGGAAGTTGGGTTCGTTGCTGAGCGCCACGGACGCTTCTTGCTCCGCGTCGAGCGTTTCGGCCAGCTGAGCGTAGTAGCGGAAGTACACGACAGCTTCGCCGACGTCGCCCTGCGCCTCACGCAGCGGCTTCCCGCAATCTAGCGACTGCGATGGCGGTCAGAGGAGAACAGTCATCAGCTTCAGGGCGGGGAACGAGAGATACTTCAATGACGGCCAGCTCCTCTTTCCTGTTCTCGATCCCTTGTGCGATGTCTCGCAGGTAGCGTGCCCTCTCCGCGCCGGAGGTGTCGCCCCAGCCACCGAACGCGGCTCTGGCAGCTTTGACCGCCGCGTCAACGTCTTCAGCGGTGGCCAGCGGTACCTGGCATATCACCTGCGCACAGGAAGATCCGTTTTAGGCTCTGCACCACACACGACACACACACGACACACACGACACACACGAGCGCGGTGGTGCACCTGTTCGGTGGCGGGGTTCAGGGTGGCAAGTGAGCCGCCCCGGACAGGCGGCACCCACTCCCCGCCGAGGTACAGCCGTCCCGCTGGCGCCTCAAACCTTCACCACAACCGTCAAAAATGAGGGGCAGGAGCTGCATCGCAGAGCTCTGTGCTGGTGCTCGAGCGTACTTGAGCGGTGAGCCCGATGGGGTGAGCACGGGGGTGCGGCCAGCAGCTTGTTGCATCTTACAATAAATAAATAATGAATAAGAGAAAACAAGCTTTTCTTGGGTGGGCAATTTCCCTTGTCGGATCGGAAAGAGAAGAGAGCATTGATAGACAAACATGAAGAGAGTAGCTGCGCAGGCCTCTTTCGCCGGACCCCGCTCCATTGCGACTTCCCTGGTACCGCTGCAGCTCGCGGCGTGGTCTGGAACAATCTCAAGCCTCTAATCTCTTGGTCGGGCGACCCAGTCCTGGGAGGGAGCTGCTGGAGTGCGGGGGCTGCATGTAAATCTGCAGGGTGGTAGGTCGTCAGTGAGCGGCGTCGTCGCGACTGTTTTCGGCTGCACGGGCTTCCTCGGTCGCTTTGTGGTGAACAGGCTGGGTACAATTTATGCCTCAATTTTGTTTTTGGACGAGATCCCCCCCCCGGGCACGATCGCGGCTCCATGCAGCCTCCGCTCACTTGCTTTGGCGATTCTCAGGTAAGATCGGTTCCCAAGTGATCGTGCCCTACCGAGGCGAGGAGAGCGCCTTCCGCCATTTGAAGGTAATGGGTGACCTCGGCCAAATCGCCCCCGTGTGGTTTGATCTTCGCGACAAGGAAACTGTTCGAAGGTGCTGCTCCCCTCCCGCGTCGCAACACGTAGAGCTCCCTTTCGTCGTGTCACGACTTCTCACCCGACGGCCGTTGCGTGTGTGCGATACTATAGGGCAGTGCAGTACAGCAACGTGGTCATCAACCTCTTGGGCAAGCGCTGGGAAACCCGCAACTTCTCTTTCGACGACGTCCACCCCGAAGCGACTCGCACCATTGCCGAGGTCCGCCAAACGCCTCCCCACCGTTCGCTGCAGCGTCTCATCATCTCCCCGCCACCACCGCACCACAGGCCGCCAAGGAGGCTGGCGTGGAACGCTTCATTCAGGTGTCGGCCGCCGGTGCCGATGTGAACTCGCCGTCCGCGTTCGCTCGCTCCAAGGTACCTCTGAGCCCCTCCTCTGTTGCGGATCGCTGGGCTTGGTCTGACCGCGAGCGTGTGACAGGGCGAAAGTGAGAAGGTGCTGAGGGAGATCTTCCCCGACGCCACCATCCTTCGCCCTACCGTGCTCTACGGTGCCCGGTATGCCTGCCCTTGACACCCGCCCCGCCTGTGTCGGGAGCGCTAACGCGGGTGAACCACACACACAGGGACAACTTCCTGGTCAAGTGGGGTATGATTGCCCGCTATTGGCCGGCCTTCGTCCGTACCCTTAAGGACACCAAGTTCCAGCCTCTCTACGTACGTGTCCACGCGTACCTTACCCTCCCCCCACAAACCACACCGCGTTAAGGAATAACGGGGCAACGCTCGCGCTGGTGCCGCTCTGCAGGTGGCGGACATGGCCACGGCCCTGATGAACGCCCTCGCCGATCCGGAAACGGCGGGCAAGACCTACGAGCTCGGCGGCCCCAAGGTACCGTAGCCGCCCGGGAGACCACCGCAGCTCCGAAAAACAGGCGTGTGCGCCCGAGTGAGCTGACCCTCCTTTCCCCGATCAGGTCTACACGCTCGAGGAGATCACCGAACTGGTGACGCGCCTCACCTTTCTCGAGCCCTCCGTGGTCGACGTGCCCTTCCCAGCCCTCCGTGCCTTCGCTCAGGTCACCCAACCCTTCCTCCGTAAGCCAAGGTACGCACCGACCATGGAGACGCGAGAAGAAAAGAGGGCCACGCTCATGCGCTACAATCACGGACCACCGCAACTTGCAGGTTCACGGTCGAGGAGCTGGACTACTGGAAGTCGGGTGATGTGGTGGTGCCGGAGAACGCGCCCTTGACGATCAACAACCTCAACTTCTCGACGGTACCCCCGCCCCCACACGAATGTATCGGGTCGTCAGGTGAGGGTGCTCCTCATGCTCATGGTGTGTTGGTGGCTGTCGCAGGAGGACTTGACTGTTCTGGAGAAGGAGGCCGTGAACTTCCTGCGTCTCTACAGAAAGCCGGCCACCATGAACCTCATCCTCGAGGACCAACTGGACGTCAAATCGCCGCGCGCTCGCGCGAGCCGCTGAAGTTGTTGAAGCAGACGAGCAACACAACAAACACCATTTTTTCTTTTGTTCTGTCCATTTCCCGCACTTTCTTTTTGTAGCGTTGTTTGGGATTTGATCTCATAACCAGACAAGATGAGCATCACCATGGGGGCACCCAGCTGGCCAAGCGCCATGGGAGGAGCCAAGGGTGGCATGAAGGGCCTCCAGCATCTGATTCGCGACATACGCAACTGTACGACCACACTCTTCAAACCAGAAGCAGCAAAATCGGAATATTGAGAATGGGGGTGCAGGCAAAGGGAGGGAGGGCGAACAGAAGCGCGTAAACAAGGAGATGGCCAACATACGAAAGCAGTTTACCGAGAACAAGAACCTGACGGGCTACAAGAAGAAGAAGTACGTCTGTAAGATCATTTACCTCTACATGTTGGGGTACGACGTCGACTTTGGCCACGTGGAGGCCATCAATCTGCTCTCCTCCAACAAGTTCTCTGAGAAACAAGTCGTACGCTTCCTCCTCATCGCGTGTGCCGAGCCAGCTCGTCTTCGCTTCTTTGTCGTTCACCTCGCTCCTTCACCAGGGCTACCTGTTTATCGGGGTGCTACTCAACGAAGAGCACCAACTGGTTCCCCTCGTCGTCCAGTCTATCTCCCACGACTTGGCTGGTGCCCACCCTCTGCTCCCCGTCTCCCCTTGACGTGTGGCATGCGTCCGTGTCTGTGCATGCTCCATGTGGGCGCCAGGCACCTTCGCCGTTATTGACACACGCGACTGTGGTGGTGCGGGGTGTGCAGCGCGCAGTGAGTTTGCGCAGTGTCTCGCGCTGACGGCGATTGCCAACATCGGAGGCAAGCAAATGGCCGAAGCCCAGCTCGCCCCCTCTGTCACGAAGCTGCTCCTCGCAAAGTAAGTAGTAGAGTCACTCCCTTCCCACTGGTGTAGTTGACTCGGCTGACGGTAATCCGACACACATGCAGCACATCGCCCAGCATGGTGAAGAAGAAGGCAGCGGTTTGTCTGTTGCAGCTGTACCGCAAGTACCCGGACTTCATCACTTCCGACGTGTGGGCCGACCGCCTCATCAAGCTGCTCAGCTCCAGGTTCACTCGCCCGCCCGCCCACTCGTCCGCCCATCCATCCATCCATCGCTCCACTCATCAGCTGTTTTTTTCGCACCAAAAGGGACCCTGGCGTGGTGGGCAGCTTGATGAGCCTGCTCCTGGGCATAGTTGAAAAGGACCCATCCGGATACGAGCCGTGCGTCGAAAAGGTCATCGAGCTTCTGTCCAAGGTGCCCTCGCCCTCACCCTCCTTCGCCGAAGACTTGTCTAATCCCGGTGGTGGGCGTATGCGACAGATTGTGCTGGAGAAGGAGTACCCGCGCGACTATGTGTATTATAACATCCCCAACCCGTGGCTTCAAGTCAAGTTGTTGCGTTTCCTGCGCTATTTCCCCGCCACGCTCAAGAGAGTAAGTCTGCGCCCGACTCCACCACCCCTCCAAGTGCCAGGCACAGCCACCTCGCTGAACTGAGCCGGCTAACCTCCGCTACCACAGGATCTCGGCAGGAAGCTGCACGACGTGCTCAACAACATCATGCTGTACGACGGCGTGCTTCCCCACCTCGTCTTGCCCTTGCTCCTCTCCTGTGGTTGCTCACCCGCATTTTACCTCCTCACCAGTTCGGCCGAAAAGGTGGTCGCCAAATCGTCGTTGTCGAACAACCACAAAAATGCGCTCAATGCAGTCCTGTTCGAGGCCATCGATCTCATCCTTCACTATCACACGTAATTCCGCCCCCGTCCCCTCCTCGCCCAGCGCATTTGAACTCACTTGGCGGGGTTCCCGTTTCTCGTATTGCAGCGACAGCGAGTTGGTGAAGCAGGCTGCCCAGCTCCTGGGCCGCTTCATCTCGCCCAAGGAAAGTGCTAATATCAGGTACCCCCCTTGCTGGCACACATCTTGCGCGCGGCGCTGTGGTCACACGCAAACAACGGTCGCCGGCAGTGCGTGAATGGAAGAGAGACGTTGACACTGCTTGATGGTTGGACGACCAGGTATTTGGGGCTGGAGGCCATGGGCAAGCTGGCGCTGTCCATGAGCGAAGAGACTGGCGGTATCATCAAACGGCATTTGGAAACGGTGCTCTCATCTCTCAAGGACCCCGACATCTCCATTCGGTGCGTGCAACGCGCTGCCCTCCCCCACCACGCTCGCTATCTATCTATCGGCGCCCTCCTACTTACCCTCACCTTCACTCTTTCCTCTCCGCATTCCGTTTTGTGTAGACGACGTGCGCTGGACCTGTGCTTCGGCATGTGCGACCAAAGCAACAGCCAACGCATCGTGGGCGAGCTGTTGAACTACCTGCTCCACGCCGATTTTGATATTCAAGAGGAGCTGGCGCTCAAGATCGCCGTCCTCGCCGAGAAGTTTGCGGCCAGCAACCGCACGTGGTATGTGGACACCGTTCTTCGTCTCATCTCCCTCGGCGGCAGCAACGTGCCCGATGACGTGTGGTACGTTCTTCTTCTTCTTCCCCTCCTGGGTGTTGATGGGCCGCATTCATTCCATTCCTCACCGTGGCTCCCCCGCCCAGGTACCGCGTGGTGCAAATCGTGACCAATCACGAGGACATCCAGGAGTATGCCGTCATGAATGCTTTCAAGGTGGGTCTCGTACACCGCTAGCCTGTGCCAGAACGTTCGTCCCTCACCGTTCTATCCCACCTGGTCACAGGCCCTCAAGCACCCCTCATGCGGCGAATCCACCATCAAGGTGGCGGGGTATCTCCTGGGCGAGTTTGGCCATCTCATCGATGACAAGCCTTCTTCCTCGTGCGCCTCCGCCTCCTCTTTTCTTCGCCCCCTTCCCCCTCGGTGCCACCGAGTCTGATTGAGATGTGCGGGAGCAGAGCTCGCGAGCAGTTCGAGGCCCTCCACCAGCGGTTCGCCACGTCATCGGTGGCCACACGGGCCTTGCTGCTGTCCACCTACGCCAAGTTCCTCAACCTCTACCCGGAGGAGCTGGGCGCCCAGATCACTCAGATCCTCAAGCAGCAGGCCGCCTACATCGACGCCGAAATCCAGCAGCGCGCCTTCGAATACCACGGCCTCCACCTCCTGCGCGACCCCGAGCTCATGGTGCGCCGCCACTGCTGCTGGGCCTATCTATAGGCGAGTGGGACTAACACAGAGCTCCCCCCTCCCCATGCGCTCCCAAAAAACAACAGCAAACCGTTTTGGACGTAATGCCCGCCTTTGCTGAAACCGACGACGCCGAGGATGACGGTCGTCACGCCACCGACGATGACGACGAGCCAGAAGTGACCGCCGGGCACCGTCCCGTCGGGTACGCTCCTTCGCGCCTTCCCTCCTGCTGGCAGTTGCCACGTCGTGTTGACTCGTGTGCCCCTCATCCAGCGGCGGCGGCGGCGCGCCGGACTGGCTGCTGGACGGTAATGACGCCGCCGGCGTGCCGCCACGCGACCCTCTGGGTGGCCTGGTCTCGGCCTTTGCTGGCGCTGCCATCAGCCCCGCTCCCGTTTCGCCCTACCCCGCTGGCGGTGCTTTCATGCCCCCTGGCTCCAGCGGAGCTGCTGTTCAGCCGGGCGGCGGCAGCCCCTTCCACCCCCATCCCGCGTCTCCCCAGCACCAGCAGTCGCCTCCTTCACCACTGGCCGGTCCGTCGTCTCCGCTTCAGTCCACCGAGCCCCTCTCGTCCGGAATCCCGACCCTTTCGCCGCTGATTCCCACGTACGCCCACCCTTCCCTCCTCCCTCCGCACCACATCGCATAGACCCGAGGCCCACACCCCCTCGCGCGTCTTGTCGTCGTCAGAGAGTCGGAGGCCCCTCAGCTGGTGCCCAAGAAGAGCAAGCCCACCGGTGCCGAGCTCATGGAGTTCTTCAAGCTGCTGTGCATCAACGCCGAAGGCGTGCTCTACGAGGTAAGTGCTTGATTCCTTCCCGAGACCGGGGACCATGACCGTTCTCACCCCTCCCCACTCGCGTTCGGTTGGGGCTTGCAACAGGACGGCAACATCCAGATCGGTCTCAAGACCGAGTTCCAGCGGGGCATGGGGCGGCTGGTGCTGTACTACGGCAACACCACCAACGCGCCCATCACCCAGTTCACCACCATCATATCCCCGGTCAACTACCTGTCGATCCAGATCCAGGAGATCGCCAGCGTGATCCGGCCCATGGCGCAGGTACCCTTTGGCCGCAGGTTTCGCGGGGCTTTCCCCATCGAACAGATCGCTCACTCCTCCCCCATTCACCACCATCACCACCGCCCACAGGAGCAGCAGCTGATCAATGTGGCGTGTCTGCACGAGTTCGCCGACGCGCTGCCGATCCAGGTCTCGTACCTGGCCAACGGCAAGTCGGAGAACCTCTCCCTCCGCCTGCCGATCGTCCTCACCAAGTTTGTGGAGCCGGTCCTGCTCGACGCCACCGGCTTCTTTGGCCTCTGGAAGAAGCTCGCCGGCCCGCCCTACGGTACGACCGCCGGGTTCGCAGCAGTCCGCGTTTCCCCCCCCCTCCACTGAGTACCCCCCCACACAAACAGAGCACCAGAGTGTGTTCAAGGCTGGCGCCACGATCGATATGCCCGGCATCACCCACGTCCTCAGTTCGGGGCTACACGTGGGCGTTCTTTCGGCGATTGACCCCAACGTCAACAATCTGGTGGCTGCCGGCTCCCTTTTCACCACCACCAAGCAGGTACGCTTGACTCTCGACCCCATAATGCTCGGCCCTCTGCGTTTGCACACTACTGGCTCACCACCTGACGACGAACCGGTGACAGGTCCTCATTCTGCTGCGCATCGAAACCAACCCTTCGGCGGGCATGATCCGCCTTACCATTCGATCCGAGAGTGGCCAGGTTAGCCTCCCCCGCCTTTCTTTCAGTTAACTCTGGCGTAGACGCGCCTCATCGCTGATGGCTCATCGTCTCGTCATTCTCCTAACAACAACCAACAACAACAACCAACAACACACGACCAGGTCACTGCCGCCATCAAGAACCTCGTCTCGGCCCAGTTGGTCGGTTGAGCACGACCCTTGCAGAGGGCAACAGCAATGGTCTCCACGCGTGAGGGGTCCCGTACATTACAAACGTAACTCAAGGTAGAACATCGCTCGCGGTTTCCCCTGCGTTTTCCTTCTTCGTCTCCTCCCTCAAAGCCCAAGGCTGCTGGGGCAGCAGCTGTCCGCAGCGCACAGGCAGGTGTCGGAGTCGATGACCGCGGAAAGCTGGACAAAGTACATCCAGCAGTACCACTTGTACGTGCTGCCTGCAATGGGGGAGGGGGCGCAGATCAGCGACAGACACCGCACCAGAGCCAGGCTGGGGCCGGGAGGAGAGGGGGAGACGGTACTCACGCCGCTGTCGGGCGTCGCGCAGCTCAGCGAGATCTGGTTGTAGTCGTTGTTGAGCAGCAGCTCCTCGTTACCGCCCAACATCGCTTGATGCAGCTCCGACAGGCTGCTCGCGATAGAAGTCAGCCATCACAGTGCATGCGCTGCTGGTACCGCAGAGAGAGAGAGGAGGGGGCGAAAGAGAGACGCACGTGTCGCCGGTGAAGCTGGTGGAGGCCATGCTTTGCACGCAGTAGTCGGGGAAGGCAAAGGCAAAGTCAGTGGTGGTGCTGTCGTCCTGGTCGCGCTGCCTAAAGTTGAGGTTGCACACCAGCTCATTGCGGAACCGAGTCACCCAGGGAATGCTGGTAAAGTCGTCAAAGGTCTACAGAGAAGCAGCAAGGTACTGGGTTAGCCAAGTGGCCACTGGCGGGAGGAGTGAACCCTAGAGACGCACCTGAGCAGCGCTGGTGGACAGGTTGTAGGCCATGTTGTTGAGGCCGATGACCCTGTTGAAGTACATCTCGGCCGTGTCGGACATGCGCCAGAGTGACACCCAGGCTCCTATGGACGTTGCGAGTATGTGAGTGTGTCCGGCACAAAGGTGACAACGGCGGCGAGGGAGGGTGTGGGGTGTGACGCATTACCGAGAGCCTTGTTGATCATGTCTTCGTGGAGCTGCACCGTTCGGTTGGCCACCATGATGTAGTTGAGAATGGTAGCGTTCACCAGCTGCCCAGAGAGTGCTCGCTCGACGTTGTGATGTGACTCCGCCGCTCTTGCCGTCCCCCTAAACCCGAATCCACGCTTACCCCGGTGAGCCTCCGTCTCCTCCGCCCCTTCTTCCACCGCCTCTTCTTCCTCTGCGTTCACCTCCGCAGCCCACTCAGGCCGGAACCGCCCTGCGTTTGGGAAGAAGTGGTGCGGCACAGGAGCACATGTCAAACACAGGGACTCAACGAGACTAGAAGGAGGGGGGGAGGTGAGAAGAGGAGCACCTTCGCGGATGCGTTGTCGGATGGTGTGTCGCATGTCGTCGGTGTAGGCGGGGCGTGAGAGCAGCTCCTCGATTTGCTCATCCTGCCACCCCCCCCTCGATAAGAACAAGCAGAGATGGGGCAAAAGAAAAGATGTTGGTGTACCGATATGCGAACATCGAGAGACGCGGCGCAGCACACCACCAGCACCACCAGGGCGAGTAGTGGTCCAAGCCAATGGCGGTATATCATGGCCGGCGTTGAGAGGGGGGGGGTAAGGTAGTGGCTGTGGTGGTTGTCAACCTGCTTGTGACCGTCCCCCATAAAAGATGGAAAAGGCACGTTTCCTAAAAAGCGTAATTGAGAAGTTTCACAAAGACAAGCAAAGAAGGTTGATGGTATTGCCCGCTCTAGCTAGCAAGAGCTAGGACTTGGACGAAGCGGCGGCATCCATTGCCTTCTCCATCTCGACCACTTCCTCGAGGGGCATGTGGTGGAACTTGACAGAGTAGCCTGGCGGAATGGACAGCTGGATGTCGGGGTTGATACCCTTCGCCATCGCCTGCAAGTGCAAGCAAGCAGCCACGCCACGGCGACCACAAGCAACGGCGAAGATGGATGAGGAGGGGAAGCTTAGGCGCTATCGTTGAGGTTCCGTCAAGAAGGATACCTTCGTATCGAACGACAGATGGGCGTTTCGCGCCATGAAGGACTCGAAACTCTCCTTGATGACCAGCTCGATGTGCTCCAGCCCTGCAACCCACACCGGTTCCAGTCAGCGTGCCATACGCCAAGCCACCACCAACCCAACCCAACCCAACACAGCGCGCGAGCGGTAAAGAGGAGACTACGACCGGCCGGATAGGGGGAACCGGGTTTGGGAGCAGGCAGCTCAATGCAGGGGATGCGACGATCTCCGAAGGCGACGGGCTGCTTCAGCTTGTACGTGGCCACGAGACGTCCACCTGCCGCACCACCACGCCACCATCAGCGCCACGCCGACATTGCACCAGTGGTTACCACGAGCGCGTACCGATGATGGCCTCGTGGAGGAGTGTGGCGAGCTCCGACAGCTGGTTCTTCTTCTGCTGATAGGCCTCTTCCGTTTCTGGCACCACACCACAGCACGAACGACCATCAGAGCCCGGGCACAGCCAACCAAAAAAAGCTCCTTGCCCCCCCCCCCGGCGGTCTGCCAGCTACTTACCGACGCGATAGCACAAGTGGTCGCAGAAGAGGTCATCCGCGGAGGGCTGCAGTGCAGCCTCGTTCAAACCCGTGAACACGGCCGACAGGAAACCCCGCACATCCCCCACCACGTCCTCCAGCGACAAGGCCATCACAACACACCGCGAACGAAGAAAAAAGACAAAAACAAAATTCAAAAAACAAAAAAACGGCGTTCACCTTTCCCGCCAATTCTCCGCGCTTTATCGCCGCTACCAGAAATTCCGACGGGAACGAAGGGAAACAAAGCGGGGCCGCTACTCTCGTTCTGCTGACGGCGGAAGCAGAAGAAGACGGCCACCTCCGCCTCAGTCACCATCTATCCCACGCTTGCGCTTTGTTGCAAGAAGACTTAGCTACCAACCGACCCACCACGAACCCACAACTATTCATTCGTTATGTACCGAACACCCACGAGAACGCTGGGCAGGGTGGCCAACACCTCCACCCTCGCACCCTTCCACCTTCGTGCCCTGGCCGCTGCTGCGGGCACCAGCTCCGCCAAGAGCAGTTCCAGCCATCATGCGTACGCCATCTGCAGCGCACTCTCTTAGCCTTGTCGTTGCTACGCACTCACACGATGGGGAGGGGCAGGCAACATCTGGGGCGAAGGGGCCACAAGGAACACGGCCGCAAGCGACCGGCCAAGGACGAAGACGACGATAGTGACCGCGAGGACGAGGAGGACATCAACAAGTTGGCGGGAGCAGACGACGCTAAGACGCCGGACGAGCTCGTGGTGGGGGACCTACGCGAGCAGATGGCCGAGAACGTGGGCCTTGACGGGGACCACGAGATCGGCCGCGAGGGGGGCGAGGGCCGCCTTCACGCCCTCCATGACGCCGAGCAGGACGCCCTCGAACGGCGCGGGTACGGGGGCGAGGAGGTGCCCTACACGGCTTCCGCCACCGACGACCCCGATGACCGCTCCGAGCAAGTCGACATCGGCAGAAGTGCTTGATTGCCCCCTCCTCCCCTCCCCTCCTTTACATCTTTCCTCATCCCTATCACCACTGCCTGTACATACCCCCTTTGCCTGTAGAGAAATGCAAAACAACTATGCTGGCCGTTACGGTCCATACACCATAACACATAATGTTAAAGTCAAATTATGTCCTACACATCATGGTCGCAGGGGGCCGTCGTGTGGTGGGGCTGGCGCCGAGGAGGAGAGGAGCTGGAGGGTTACGGCAGCAGTCGGGTCCTGCCCCGCTCCTCCTGCGTGCAGGGGTAGCTGCTGTTGATGGGGCGCCGGGATGGCCACCCCGCTCGCAGGTGCGGCCTCCACCGGGTGGATGGAGTGCCACGTGGAGCTTCTCGCCCTGCGCACAGCCACCACCAAGTGATCAGCGCACCACCCACGAGCAAGCGAGAAGGAAGCGGAGGTCGAGTGGTGGTACCGGCCACCAGGGGGTAGGCGAGCGTCCTCTGGGGACGGCAAGGAGTCCACCATCGTCGGCGTCGGCGTCGTCGCCACCAATGGAGCAGACGGCGAGGACGAGGTGGAGGAGGGCGAGAGAAGTTTGAACTTGTGGCGAAGCAGGCGGTACTTCTCGGCCTCGGCCTCCAGCACCACCAGATGCCTCTGCTCCCGCCACCGCACAAGTTAGCTGAGCGAGCTCACCACACCCTGGGCCATGGGCATGTTCTATAGGCCGGGACGGGTACCTCGAGCCCGAGGTGGCTCTTCTTGAGGGCGGCGTACTTGGCCTCGACGGCCTGCAGCTTGTGCACGCTGACCTGCTTGTGGTACTCGAGGAGCTGCTTTTGGGTGTGGGCGAGGGCGCCCTTGTCCTTCCGCTCCCGCTCTGCCCGCTCGGCCCGCTCCTTCATCTCCTCGTAGACGGTTTGCAGCGTCTGATGCCGCCCGTAGTGGGGGCACGCGGGCCTCTAATGAGCAGCCAGCCAACTAGGAAAAGTACTGGGGAGAGGGGGGAGCGCATGTACGTGGTGCTTCGCGTGGAGGGCGTGGAGCTGTTCGTTGAGGTCTGCCGCTAGGGCTTCCTGCACGTGGAGCTGCCGCTGGGCTTCCGTCAACTCGGCGATGGACAGGCTGCTCTCCCTTTTGCTGCGCTCCTCCCTGCGCGTCCATACAAACAGTCATATATGAGCGGCCATGACACGTGGCGTGGAGGGGGGAGGTGGAAGGCCACCAGAGGGCAAGCTCGTGGTTGAGAGACGACAAGCTGCCGCGGAAGTTGAGCGAATCGCCGGCCTGCGCTTGCATGGTCTCGACCTGCGCCTCCAGCTCGAGCAACCTTTGGGCACCGTGACACACCCACCCACACACACACACACACACACACGCACAGGAGAACAAATGGAGGGTTGGCCACATGCGCAGCACGGAGTCGTTCAAGGAATGGCCCGCGCGTACGTTGCGCTCTTCTGCTCGAGCTGCTGGAGGAGCGAGCGGTGGTCGTCGAGCGCCTGCTGGGCAGTATTCTCCCAGCGCAGGGCGGCGGCCTTGAGGTCACTGGTACAACGCCTCACCGGAGGGGTGAGAAACGGGCGAGAGCGGCGGTGAACCCGGGCGTGGCCACGTACGCGTTCTTGGCGTGGAGGTCGGCGAGGCTCTTGGTGAGGTGGCTCACGGTGGCACTGTGCCGCGCGTTGAGTTGGTGGATGTGCCGCTGCCGTTCCGAAAGCAGCTCCTGCACGCGCTTGAGGGCCTCCTGCTGGCGTCGCACTTCCTCCCGAAGGGCGTCGTGGTGGGCGTGGTCGGCTGTCGTGGCCAGCCCCTCCCGCTGGAGGGCGACGCATCGGTGGAACAGCTGGCGCCGCGCAAACCTGCTCGCCGCGCCCAGGTTAAAAGAGGAGGGGGGGGGTAGGAGGAGCGAGTGGCCAGACGATGAGGGGAGACCGCGTGCCTCTCGAAGAGCAGTTCGGTCCTGGCCACGACCAGTTGGCGCATGCACTGGTGCGAGTGCTGCCCCTCCGCCGGCTCGTCGTGGTCGCCTCCTGTTGCCAACTCCTCCTGCCGCGCGCACGCAAAAAGGTTAGCGACGGGAGCGGTGGCCAGGCAACCTTCTCCCGGGATCACTTGTACTGTGGCAGTAGCAGTGGCGGCGGTGTCCCGTGGCGTGGTTCCCAAGGGCGACATTGAGGAGTCGCGGTGGAGGCCCTCCTGCTCCACCAGGTCGAGCATCTGCAGCAGGCGCTCCCCTGTCACGCCCAAACAACCAAGTGTGGGTTACATTGGTCGGGGCACACCACGGTCCAGTGCGGGGAGGGGCAGCATACACGAATCGCGCACATGAGGCAGCGGCGTGGTGGAGCCCTTGGGCTGCACCACCTCTTCCCCAGCGTGCGCCGATGTATTGATCGTCTCCTGCTGCGGCTGCTGCGGCTTCTGCCCGACACGATGGCGGGGGACGGCTTGGAGTTGCTCGCAAAGCAGGCGCACGCGCTCGTCCCACCCCGAGTCGGACAGGGCGCCGTGGTCGTGGTCTCTCCGGTCCCCTGTCCGCTCGGAGGCGGCGGAGGTCGAATGGAGTAGAGGGGGCGGAGGGCACAGGGAGAAGCAGTCTGCGACGAGAGCGTAGGGGTCGCGGCGCTTCCATCGCTCGAGCGCTCCGGCAAGCTCGCTGGCGGGAGCCCACATTCACCACACGTGTTAGATCGGGAAACCGGGCATTAACCGGTTATGTGGTGCGCGGCGCGAACCTGGTCTCGTCGGACAAGACGAGAGCGGGATCCAGGGTGATACCGCCCAACAGGACCTGATGGCGCCCCAACGGTCACCATGGACGACGTCGGGCGGTCAGCCATGGGCAGACACGAACGCAGGTGGGTCGACAAAAAGAGGGGGGTACCTGCAGGGCGGAACCCAGGTGGGGGTGCTCGGTGTGTTCCCTGCGGAGGAACGACACGCTGGCGCACGGGAAGAGTACGTACCTGACGCACGAGCCGACGCACGAGGCCCGCGGGCCAGTGAGCAGCGGGCGGCATGCGGGGACATGAATGCGCGTAGGAGCGGGGGAGGGAGGGTGTACAGCAGGCGGAAGAACATGGCGGTGGGCCGGCCGAGATCGGGCGGGATCACTCCTGCCGCCCGCGAATCCCTCCCCGTCTGCTCGTGGACCTCGGGCCGGCCCTCCGCCCCACCACCACCCTCGCCATCGGCAGCGCCACCGCCGCCGCGGTGGGCAGGTTTGTCGGACGGCCAATGGAGGAGGCGATGCATGATGGCCAGCAGGGCCGATAGGAGCGGGGGCACTTGCGGGAGCGCGTGGGGCAGGACCATCACCAGCACCCACACCGCGCCCGCCACCACGCCCGCATCGCTCTCGTCCTACCATTCCCCCCACGCGCCGCCGCCGCACTGTGTGAGAGAGAACTGGGCTGCGTGCAGAGGGCAGCCACCACGTACCAGAGGGATACGCAGGAGTGTGGTGAGGAGGGGCGTGTCGGCGATCTCGTGGAGGTGCGGGCCTTGCCGGTGGACCACCGTGGCGAGCAGCTGCATGGCGCTCTGCTTGTGGTCGGCGTCGGTCAGGTACTCGTCCACGCGGAGGAACAGCGGCCGCGGGCAGCTGTCCCCGAACCTGGGTGTGTGTGTGTGCCAGTCACCGCCGGGTGTCACCAAGAAGGGCAGCCGAGAGCGGGAGGAGAGGCGGATGAAAGGAATGGGGCGGGTACGCGAGGAGCGCGGGGAGGCTGAGCGGGGCCTCGCCCTTGTGTGTGAAGTAGTCCTCGAGCAGCCTCGCCCGCGCATCGGCGACGTCGGCAGCCACCACGTCAACAAGCAGCGGCCCCAGCACCTCCCTGCGCTCCTCCGTAGCCCGCAAGCACGAACGTACGTACGTCAGCTGACGTGCGGCGGGGGGTGGTGCGGCGCTGCTGCTCGCGGAGAAGAGGGGAGGGTGGTGGCGGACCGCAGGCGCAGGTCGTTGGAGTGTAGGTGGCCCGGCTGGAGAATGAAGTCGAGCCAGGGGGCGAGTTTGCCCGCGCCGAACGCCTCCAGAAAGCGGTGCAGGTAGGCGAGGAGAGCTGCCACTTGCCCCTCGTGCCTTACGCCGCCCTGGTGGTGCCCACCCTTGAGTGTCGGTGCGTGCTGCAGTGAGAGCGCGGGATGGGGGGGTTCGATACCGCGAGGTGAGGGGCAGCCTGCCCCGCGGTCTGCAGCGGAAGGAGAGCTTCCACCACGGCCCCGCCTTCATCTGCTCCTGCTCGCTCCACCTGCACCAGGTCATGCGCTTGTCTTGGCTCCAAAAGCTTAAAAAAATCTTACACCGTACCAACGAGCACAGCTCCTCGTCAAAGTGGGCAGCAAGCACCGTGGCGGCCACCTTCTTGGCCAGGCTGCCCATCTTTGTTCTGCCTCTCTTACCCCCTGCCGCAAAAATGCCCCTTGTCCACTAAAAACTGAGCGGAGTGGGATTTGAACCCACGCATCCGGAGATAACAGTGCCTAAAACTGCCGCCTTAGACCACTCGGCCATCCGCCCCTTCCGGCGCTTTGCTCTGCTGGCGCATGCCTGGACCACTTCGGCATTAAAACCGCAATAAAGTACCGACAAAGAGTTCAATCCACAACCAATCCACAACAATGGAGAAGCCCTGGCGAGATCTGGAGAACGAGGATAAGGAAGAGGTTGGTCAGGACAATGAAGTAGGCGTGGAAGATCAGATCCAGGCACTGATTGGGGGCACACACGCTACGCTCCACTCCAGTACCCCAATCTCTTTCCTCTTCAATAGTCCCACCATTCATGCCACAGTGCCGCTCACCAATGGGCAGTGGGGCGAGAGCTGGAGCGTCTGCAGGGCGTGTGCGCCCTCCTCCTGGCACGTCTCCCCAGTGCCGTCGAACAGCAGCACCTTGGAGACCAGCTGTCAGCGGAGCACAGCGACGAGGCCGCAGCGAAAAGGGAACGGGAGGCCCGCGGGCTGACCGCCTACGCGATGCGGCACCTCCGGGAGCTGCAGGAGCAGGCACTCCTTTCCGGTTTGCACCCCACCGCCCATTTCCTCACTTCACACTAAACTAACGCAGGACCTGCGCGGTTGTAGCGGCTGTACTGGCATCGGTGGTTATCGACCGCGTGAGCGCCGATGGCTCTGTCAAAAACGGTAGGCAACCGACACACGACACGACACGCACGACACGCACGACACACGACACGCACGCCATGCGCGACACACGATGATGTTGTGCTCATTATCAGCCTTCCCTGTCCAGGAGGCTTTCTGTGCCTCGGCAGCGGCGACTCGACATCCGGCCTCTCGCTTCACGTGGACGACGTGCGTCGCGGGCAGGAGCAAACGGTGCAGGAGCAGTGGACGCAGCTGCGCCAGGCCGAGCTGCGCAACCACGTCCTGCAGCGGGAGAACGGGTTCCTCCGCCAGACCATACAGCGCTACCAGGCCCAGCTCTGCATCGTGGACCGAAAGGCGCAGAGCCTGGAGGGCCTCAACGCCCGCAAGCGCGAGGAGCACGTCGAGGAGCGGCTGCAGCTGCAGATGCAGGTGCAGGACCTCCAGGAGAAGCTCCTCGCACACCTGCCCCTCCCCCATTCCCGCAAGCGCCCCGGTAAACCAACCCCACCACACCTCCGCCTCCCCCCCCCACGCTGCACCCCCGACAAGCGCCTAACCCCCGACCAGAGGCGTCGTCGGAGGTTCAGGTTGAAGTGGAGAAGAGGAAGGACATGGAGGGCAAGTATCTGAAGGCGCGCGATGAACTGCACTATCACAAACAGGAGTGGTACGCGCGCGCGCGCACACACACTCGCGCATACACGACGCCGACGACACACCTGCTAAGCAGGCCTGGTGTGGGCACAGGGGACGGCAAGTGCAGGAGCTGCGACAGGAGAATGTGCTGCAGATGTCCCTCCTGAAGAGGCGGCACGCGCAGGAGCTGCAGCAGAAGCAGGCGCAGTGCGACGCCCTGCGCGCCGAATGCGAGCACCTCAAGAAGGAACTCCACCTCGTCAGCCAGGAGCAGGAGCACAGCAAGCGAAGGGCCAACGTGGAGAAGCTGCGCCGGCCATCGACTGCCCTGGCGCAGTTCACCTTGTCGCCCGCCCCGTCACCCCTCCCCTCGCCCATACGCCCGGCCACTCACTCGGCCTCGTCGGCATCGGGCGGGCACTCCGCCTCCGCCTCTGCCTCGGCCCCCTTCACCCCGCACACGTCGCCCCTCCGCCGGGGCGCGGCCCAACAACGACGGCCCCGCCCCATTGCCTACGCCGGAGGCGACAAGGAGACGGCGGAGGTCGACCACACGTTCGACGACGAGAACGACGATGATGGCCAGCACCAGGAGGAGGAGGCCAGCGAATGGGGGCGAGGTGTGCAGCAGGGGGCCACGCCTGCACGGCCTCCTCCGGTCGAAACGGCGGCGCACATGAGGCCTCACCGCCCCGCACAGCAGCAGGCAGATCAGTTCGAGAAGGACATGACCTTTTCCTTCATCGACGACGCCGACATGGTACACCCTCCAACCACCTCGTGCTGCGCTCTCGTGTGGTGTGTGTGTGTGACGTTGTACCAAGTCTTCTGACCGGCAGCATCACCTCCAGAGCGAAGACATGTTTGCACTCTCACGAGAACTCTCCTTTGCCACGACTCCTACGGCCACCAACACCTACAACACCTACGACGACGACGACGACGATACAGCCCCGAGCCGTACCGTGCGTCGCCGCATCCTCAACGAATAGTGGCGAGGCACAGATATCTGAACAACGATGTACATTGTACACCCCACCAACCACCACCGATGGCCCTGGGATTGGTTGGGTAGATGGGGGGGGGGGAAGAATGGTCTCAAATGCGCCGCTGCTCGATCTTGAGCGGACCCAGCACCACGAAGGGACCGTTCTTGCGCGCCGTCCCCGTCCTCACCTGATCACCAGCCCCCGCCCCAAACAATCAGCCACGAACGGTCTAGTGGTGGTTGGGGGGGGGTAGAAGAGTGGCGGACCTTGAGGTAGTAGACGACCTCGAACGACGACTGCCCGTCGCTGACGGTCGGGGCCAGGGTGAAGGGCAGCTTGAAGAACACCCGGTTCTGGTACCGAAACCGGCCCTTCACCGGGAACCTGCTCTCGCCATCGAACCCACACACACGACAGTGCCATGTCAGTGGTCAATCGCCGATCGGACATAAAATCCCAACAATGGGGGGTGTGTACCCCAGCGGCGACACCTCCAGGTTGATGACCTCCTCCTGGGGGGGGGGTACAGGGAGTGAGTGTTTATCGCGTGATTGGGGGAGAGGGGGAGGGTACGTCTTTTTTGGAGTTGACGTTGCGCAGGCCCTGGGAGAGGACGTAGGAGGTGCTCTTCTTGATGAGGGTGCAGGTGAGCTGCTTGATCTTCTTTTCGGTCATGTTGTGAATCTCGACGTGCAGCTCCATCTTGTCCCCCGCAAAGTACCGCTTCCGAGGGATATTCACTGTGGCGTGTGTCGTGTGTGTCGTGTGCATCGTGTCGTGGTACGCCTCAGCCAGGGGTGCGCGAGGCTGTAGAGGCCGTGGAGGTGGAGGTACCGGTCAGGGTGATGGGAACCTTGCAGTTCCAGGGGATCTTCTGCATCTTGGCGCGGCAGGGCGCGTCCCAATCGGTCTCGAGCCCGCCGATGACGTCCTTCTTGACCACCGCCTCGCCCTGCTGCTGCTGGGCCTTCTTCGCCAGCCCCTTTTGGTCCGGCACCGTCGTCATGAGGCCCATCTGTCGCGGTGCGACGGCGGCGGCGGTCAACATTTTCAGCGAAACAGAGCAGACGCGTGCGCGGGGGGGGGTTGGGCGGCACCTGAGTGTAGGGAACGGAGAGGCTGTCCATCTCCCGGAAGTTGTACTCGGCCACGGGCGCCTTCTTCTCCGCCTCCTCCACTTCTGCTCGTGCGCGCGCAGACCATCAACACCGCCGCCGCAGCCACCATTGCCGTCGCATGGAGTGGGTGAGGACTGAGTGGAGCGGTGGAGGTACCGTAGGCCGGGATGGGCTCCTGCTGGTCGTCGCTGCCCGACCCCCATTCAGCCTCCCCGAGGGACGGAGCCGCCCACCCCGCGAACGCACTGCCGCCGCTGGTCCCCGTGCCCGCCGGCACCGCTCCCATGCGCGCCTCCTTCCTGCCAACGCGTCGTTGCGTACATCACATATGGCTCGATCAGGCCACTCATGCACAGCCGTGTGCGTGCGTGTCGTGTCGTGCGTGTCGTGCGGTAGAGAAAGGTGGGCGAGGGTACGAACCTCTGCAGGAGCACCTGCTCGAGGAGGAGGAGACTCTGGTGCACCTGCTCGGCCTGCGACAGCGTCTGGTAGATGAGCTGGCCCTGCTCTGTAGCGGGCCGCCGCCGCCACCACCACACGCTCGATCTCGTCAGGCCACGATCGGAGGCGGGCGCAGCTGCAGTGGTGCGTGTGCGGCAGAGTGAGGGGGGTACCGGTGCGGGGCTGGAGGGAGGGGCTGGGGGTGGGCGGAGGGCAGGTGCCCATGTCGGCGTGCACCCGGTTGAGGGTGGCCTCGGCCGTGACCAGGGGCTGCCCGAGCCGGTCGATCATGTGCTTGAACACCTGTGCCACACCACCCAAACACCCATCCCCCCCACGCACACGCACACGCACATGCGCACGGTCAGAAACGTGGAAAGAACGAAGAAGAACGAAGAGGCGACAATGAGGGAACAAAGTGGGAGAAAGATGGGGGAAGACACGACTGGTACCCCCCTTTGTCCCGCGGCAGGAGATGAGAGGGGGGGGAGGTGCCAACACCAAGAGGAGGGGCGGTACCCGATGGAACTTGGCCTGGTATTCTTGCTCTGCCACTGCTGCCTCGTCCATGGCACTGTGCATATGCTCTGCCCTCTTCTTCTTTCTTGTTGTTTGATGATCAAAAATGTTGTCTTAGTAGTTTTTAGCTATGCAATTTGAAGTATGCGTTTTTTCTTTTTCTTTTTCTTCTTTTTCTTTTTCTCTGTGTGTTTGTTTATCTGAAAGAAAAGAAGTACTAAAAGGATGGAGGCCCACGAAGATGCGGAGCTCCAGGCCGAGGGGGCCTCCCTTTTCCCCGCGGGCCTGACCTTGGACGAGGTGCGCGAAGCCGTGCGCGGCATCAAGGCCTACGTCGAATTCGACCGCCGTACCCCCCACCCCTCTTCTTCTGCGTCATCCTTTCCCATCCCTGATGCCGAGGGTCGTGTGTGTCGTGTGTGTCGTGTGTGTCGTGTGTGTCGTGTGTGTCGTGTGTGTCGTGTGTGTCGTGTGTCGTGCGTGTCGTGTCGTGTGTGTTGTGTGTCGTGCGTGTCGTGCGTGTCGTGTCGTGTTATGTGTAGAGGACCACGTCGTGTTCTCGTACGTGCTGGTCACCACCGAGACCTTCCCCGACCCGGCCCTCGCTCCCGACCCGACGTACGTTCGCGCGTCGTGCCCCACCCATCCACCCATCCAGCGCTCCCAGGGCTTCCGGCGGTAGTCGCGTGTGTGCGGCGTGGCGTTCGCTCACGCCAGGCCTGGTGTGTGGCGGGTACCCGCGTGTGTGTGTGGGTGGGTGGGTGGGTGGGTGGTGCGCAGGACGCGGCGTGTGTGGCAGGTGAGGCGCGAATGCCGCGGGCTCGTGTTCGCCAAATCCGGTGAACTCCTCTCGCGCCGGTAGGCACACCCCGCCCTGATGCCACGATGAGTTGCGCAGTTGCAGTGCAGTGGTCTCATCTGCGTCATCACCATCGCCGCCGCCGCCGCCGCGGCTACAGGTACCACAAGTTCTTCAACATCAACGAGTCTCGGGAGGCCAACGTGGCCAACATCGACTTCTCCCGCCCGCACGTCATCCTTGAGAAGCTCGACGGCTCCATGGTCTGTACGTGGCCCTCACACCTGCACACCCGTCCACGCGGCGCCCAGCCAACGTCTGTGTCGTGTCTGTGTCTGTGTCTGTGTCGTGTCTGTGTCTGTGTCTGTGTCGTGTCGTGTCGTGTCGTGTCGTGTCGTGTCGTGTCGTGTCGTGTCGTGTCGTGTCGTGTCGTGTCGTGTGGTGTGCAGCGCCGTACGTGGTGGCGGGTCGGCTGCTGTTCGCCACGAAGAAGGGTCCCTCGCCCGTGGGAAACGACGTCGCGCAGTTCGTGGAGCGGGTCAAGGCGGCTCAGGACTACGCGGCCTTCTGCCACACCTGGATACAGCACGGCTACACCCCGTACGCACGCATCGCACACACCACACTCACCGCACACACCACGCGCACGCGCACAGCACGACACTCGCGCCCGCGTGTGTGCTCACGTGAGTGTACGTGCGGCAGGCTGTTTGAATGGTGCTCGCGCATGACGCCGATCATCCTGGACTACCCCGAGGACCAGCTCGTCCTCACCGCCCTGCGCCACAACCACTCCGGCAACTACCTCAGCTATCCGCGCATGGTCTGTGACCCCCTCCCCCTCTCATCATACATCGTGTGTCGTGCGTGTCGTGCGTGTCGTGTCGTGTCGTGTCGTGTCGTGTCGTGTCGTGTCGTGTCGTGTCGTGTCGTGTCGTGTCGTGTCGTGTCGTGTCGTGCAGCTCACGGTCTGTGTACGGCGCAGGTGGAGGCGGGCAGGGAGCACGCGATTCCGGTGGTGCGGGAGTACAACGCCGGCCACACGCGATCACACAGCCTCGCCGAGTTCCTGGAGACCATCAAGAACGACCGCGGCCTCGAGGGCTGCGTGCTGCGGTTCGACGACGGCGCGATGTTCAAGATCAAGACCCTATGGTACCACAACCTCAACCGGGGCCTCCACATGATGACCAAGACCAGGACCAACAACGAAAAGTTCATGTGGCGCATCATCCTCGACCACAAGTACGACGACATGAAGGTCTACATCTCCGTCGACGAGAGGTGCGTGCTCCCCTCCCTCCACCACCCGCTTTCTTTCTTCTTTTCCTGCGCCTACCACCACTGTGTGCTTGGCGTACGCATGTAGATCGCGGATCGATCGGTTCGCCAACGACCTCCTCACCAACCTGGAGGCGAGCGCCTCCGCCATCGAGACCGAGGTGGCCCAATTCAAGGCCACCCTTCCCGAGGGTACCCTTGCTCTTACTTACCTACCTTTCCCATACCCCCGCGTGCGACACAACTCATGTGTTGGTTGATGGGTGGGTGGTGCGTCACTGCAGAGGGGAACGCCGCCGAGCGGCAGAAGGCCTTCGCGCAGTTCGTGAGCTCCCGCGACAAGCTGGTGCAGCCCGTCTTCTGGAAGGTGTGGCGCGGTGACGACGCCCGCGAGAGGTGCGCCTCCAACCCCCCGGTCTCCCTTTTGAAGTCCTCTGACATCCGCAGCACACCACCACTGACCCGTCCCCCCCTCTTTTTTCTTCACCTCTTCCAGTGTGCTCTCCCATGCGCTCAAGAATCTGGAGCGCAGCCTGGCCGAGGTGAGCGTTCTCTTCGCCGGCGGCGTCCGGTTTGCGCAGTACGCCAAGGACACCGAAAACCAGGTGGCCCGGCGGTCCTTCTCCGACTGGCACTGACTGACCGCCTCCCTCCCCAACCTGTCATCTTATTTATTTATAGTTTCTTAGAAGCCCAGTGGGCGTTGGTGTGGCGTCGGCCTGGGTGCAGGCGGAGGGGAGAGTGGGGGAGGCTGGTGGGGCGGGGCCGGAGGGGTCGATGGCGTAGGCGGCGGCCTTGCGCTGGAGGAGTGCGTGGAGGGCGGCGGAGGTGGAGGGCGCGGCAGCGGGGTTGAGAGGGCTAGACGCCCGATCGACCAAGTAGAGCACGGAGCGGAACGGCACGCCCGCGTGTTCCGACAGCGCCACCTCGCACGTGCGGCTGTTGCTCACTCCTGCACACGCGCGAACACACGCGCGCGCGCGCGCACACACACACACACATACGACACACACACACACAACCCGTTAGGCGCCGACGAGTTGTGTCAAGGTGCGTGGAGCAAACCCTCAGAGCAGCCAGGCGGGTGGCTGGCAACGCGCTCGCGCAGCTTCTTCAGCGCCGACCGGGGCAGTTCGGGAAAGCAGAGGCCGCGATCGCCGGCCATGCCGCAGCAGGGCACGGCCGAGTCGAGGAGAAGGGACCCGAGGCGCTTGGCGGGGGCCTCGCCCGTGCACTGCTTGAGTACGCTGAGAAACTTCTGGTCGACCCCCGCCATCCGCTTCGAGCTGCACGTCGTGTGGTACACCAGGCCCTCCTCACGCGGGGTCCACTGGAGGCGCGAGAGGAGGAAGTCGTGGGTGAACTCCACGGGCTCGAAGATCTCCAGCTTCTGCTGCTTCTTGGCCTCGGGAAGCCCCAACGACTCGTCTATAATCGTGCGTGTCGTGCGTGTCGTGCGTGTCGTGCGTGTCGTGCGTGTCGTGCGTGTCGTGCGTGTCGTGCGTGTTATGTCGTGAGAAGAAGCAAAGTCGCCAGGGGAAGGCGGTGGAGGGTACCGGGCGTGGGCTTGTGGGTCTTGGCGTGGAGGGCGCAGGGGCTCATGTCGAAGAGGACGGGGAGGCGGCCGTGGTCCGATGCGCGCCAGAGGACGGCGTGCAGCTCGTCGGCCTTCTGGCGCGCCTGGTGCGGGAACCCTCGACTCTCGAACGCCATCCCGCAGCACAGCCCCGCCAGCCCCTCCGGCACTGCTCACATCATTCCCAGCATTCCCTAGGATCAGCTAGGCTCCTTCATCACCCGAAGGAGGTGGTGGTGGTAAGGCGACGTACGAATGACGTCGTAGCCGGCCTTGCCCAGCACCGAGAGGGCGACGTCGGGCAGCGCCCGCCCCTCGGTCTTCTCGCTCGTCGACACGCCCATCACCCGATTCGCACAGCTCGGGAAGTACACCACTGCCCATCCACCCAGTCAAACATAGTCAGCATTCCTCAAGCGTTTTCTCTCGAGTGGGGCCGGGGGGGTCAACCTTGGTCTTTGCTGGTGGCGGTGGGCGGAGGAGGCGAAGGGGCGTGGCCGCCGCGGGGCAGGTGCGGGTTCCACTGCGGGCTGGCGGGGAGCACCCGGTGGAGGGCGTCGGAGAGGGCGCGCATGACCCGGGCACCCACCACCCGGTGGCCCACGTGGGCCGCCTGCAGCGCCGTCCGCCCCATCCCGTTCACCAGGGCAAAGTGATCGGCGGCGGCCTGGGCGACCGTCTGTGCCCAGGGCGAGCGCTCCGTCGCCCGCAGAGTCTTGATGAGCTGCCCCGTGTTGACTGACACACCACCACGCGTCAGCCCAAATGGCAACCGGGCGGGGGCGGTGGGCAAGTGGCGTACTGTTGACGGGGCAGGCGGTGGCGCACATGCCGTCGGCAGCGCACGTGTCGTCGCCGGCGTACCGGAACTGCTGCTCGAGCTCGGCCAACCGCGCCGGATCGCTCTTGGTGCGCCGCAGCTGCTGGATCTCTGCAGCCCATCGCACCAGTGAGTCGACGCCGAAGATGGTGGTCTTAGGTTTGTGGTGGGGAGAGTGGTGTACCTCGCCAGATCACGATGCGTTGGCGCGGCGATAGGGTGAGCTCGCGCGAGGGGCAGTTCTTCTCGCAGAAGCCGCACTCGATGCACTGGTCCACCAGCGAATGCGCTTCACATGTAATCCGGTTAGTCGTGCGTCCCCCCCCCCTTGCGCCCCACGCACGCTCAGGGCGTACCAGCGGGCATGGGCTTGAGGTTCTTGACATGGATCTGCGGGTCGTCGTTCAATAGCACCCCTGGACGAGATGAGTTGTAAGGTGTGAGTTGTGGGTCGTGTGGTCGATGCACGTACGTGTGTGAGTGTGTGTGTGTGTGTGTGTGTGTGTGTCGTGTGGTAGAGGAATAGGGGGTACCGGGGTTGAGGAGGTGGTGGGGGTCGAAGGCCTTCTTGATGTCCTTCATGAGGGCGTACCCGTCCTTGCCCCACTCCATCTCCACGAAGGGCGCCACGTTGCGGCCCGTCCCGTGCTCCGCCTTCAAGCTGCCGCCGTACTTGGTGGCGACGATCGCGCAGAGCTCGTCCATCATGGCCCCGTACCGCTCCTGCTCCGGGCGGCTGTCGAATCCCTGCGCGAACAGCAGGTGCAGGTTGCCTGGCGCACCACCAGCCGTGGGTCAGTTTTTCTTGCGACTCCCCCCCCCAAAGCTTGCGCGCGTGTTGGAGCGCTTTGAAGTACCGTCGAGGGCGTGTCCGAAGATGACGGCATCATCGTAGCGGTGCCGCTTGAACATGTCCTGCAGGTCCATCGTCATGGCCGCCAGCCGCGGCACCTCCACAGCCACGTCTGCTCACAGACTCACTCGCGTCAGCGCGAGGCGTTGCAATTGATGGTTGATCGCTAGCGACGCCAATGATGACGATGATGGCAATGATGATGATGATGGAGGCAGGGGGCTGAGATGTACCTTCGAGGATGACGGAGGTGGACACGGGGCGCATGGCACCGGCGGACGGGATGATGCCGCGCCGCACGTCCCACATGAGGTTGAACACGCGCGGGTCCGACGTGAACTGCACCTCCTTCACCTTGCGATACGGACGCACCGCCTTGGCCACTGGCGCCAGGCCAATACAACACACAACGCACACAAGTGTCAGCGTGTGCGTCAGTGTACTGAAATACGTCGCATTGCATTCGACTCGGGGGTGCTAGCACGGTATGTACCGTGCTCGACGCGGTCGGCGAGCTCGTCGGTGGTGTCGGCGCGCGTCTCGACGAGGAGGATTGCCACGTCCTGCCCGTGCTCGCCGCTCAGGCCCACCTGCGCCAGCTTGTCCTGCACATACGTGGGTCCAGTCACAGTCGATCACCATCGGGAATTGGGGGGGGGAAGAGGGGAAGGAACGAGAGGGGTGAGGCCTACGCGAGCAGATACGAGGCAGGCGCGGTCCATGAGCTCCACGGCGTCGACGGGCGCCAGCTTGAGCGCACTCACCGCCTCGCAGGCCGTGATCACCTGACGGCGATCGCCAGACCACGACAGGTGGTCAGCACAGACTAGTCTCCCCAGGGAACGGCAGCGAGGGAGGGAGGGACGGGGAGACGAGTGCGCACATCGGGGAAGAGCATGATGGACGAGGCTTTGTGGGGCAGCTCCGGCACCGTGCGCATCGTAACTCCGCCTAAGAGCGCAGGCACGACGCAAAGGTGTGAGCTCCTATCTTGGACGCACACCACCCGTCGATTTGCACCTCGCCCCAAATTGGTCAGGAAGGGGCAACGTACTGATGAAGGCAAGCGTGCCCTCACTTCCCACAATCTGGAAATGAGCGAAGAAGAAGAATAAGAAGAATAAGAAGAATAAGAAGAAAGAGAGGTCAAGGGACAACGATTGGTGCTGGAGATGGTGATTGGGGTCTCGTACGAGGTGTTTGAGGATCTCGAATGGATCGGTAAAATCGGCGAGCGCGTTGATGGAGTAGCCCGTGGTGTTCTTTATCGAGTACTTGCGCTTGATCCTGCGCACCCACATTTCATCGTGTGAGATTCGCTGCGGCAGGGGGGCGTAAGTGGGGGTGGGGGTGTGCATTACCGGGCCAGGAGGTCGGGGTTGGAGTGCTGCACGTGGTGGGCCATGGCCGACAACTCGGACAGGAGGTGGCCGTGCGATTGGCTGAACCGCTCCCTGCTCTCCTGCGAGGCTGTGTCGAGCACGGTGCCGTCGGCCAGCACGATCCGGATGTCCTCGATGGTATTGTATGTGTTCTGCCTCGTCTGTGCTCGCGTGCACACACACACACACACACACACACACACACACACACACACACACACACAACACACACACACACACACACCCAATCGAGCGTGTTATGACATATTTCACACAGTCGCGGCTATTGATAGGCAGGTACCCCGCAGCACATGCCGGAAGAGTTGTTGGCGGTGATGCCGCCGATCATGCACGACTCGATGCTCGACGGGTCCGGCCCGATCTTCCGCCCGTACAGGCCTGCGATCGCGGCCCACGCGTCAGCAAGGTGCTGAATGGTGGAGGCATTGGTGGATGAAAGGTAATAGGTACCGAGGACTTTGTTGGCCTGCCCGCCGATGACGCCCGGCTGGAGGCGCACGCGCGAGCCTTCGGGGTCGAGTACGTCGATGTGGCTCCACTTGGAGGGCACCAGGCGCAGCAGCACCGAGTCGGTGATGGCCTGGCCCGACAGGGACGTGCCCGCGGCCCGGAACGTGATGGGCGCCCCGAACCGCTCCGCCAGCCCCAGCGCCTTCACCACCTACCTCGCCACCGCCGCCGCCAACCGTCAGCGCACAGACCACGAACGGGCGCTTCAAGCGTGGGGGGAAGAGACCTCGTCTTCGCGTTCGACCTGCACCACCAGCTTGGGGATGAGGCGGTAGAAAGATGCGTCCGTCCCGTAGGCCAGCGTGCGCAGCGGATCGCTCACCTGCGCGGCGTGCCCACCGTTGTGGCGACAGAGGCCATCCATTGAGCAGCCGAGATGGACCTCGCGCGCAAACGAAACCAAAAAGGGGTCGCAACGGCAAGTACCACTTGGTCCTCGCGCAGGAACTTGCGCAGCTCGCGGGCCAGCGCCGCATAGTTCTCCGGCAGCTGCTGGCCTCCTGCTGCTGCCGTGGTGGTCGTGTGAGTGAGGTGCATCAGATATGTAGAGGGCATACACGAGGGGGTTCGAACTACTGGTACCGCTCTTGGTCGGGCGCGGAGAGGAGTGGGCGTGGGACGGATCCGAGCAGGCCGGCCCGCATCCCTTGCCGGCGGTGTGCGCCTCAGTGTGGACACTCCGCCTACGTGTGCAGGCGCGCCAGGAGTAGATGAGCGTGGGCACCCGAGACTTGAGAGGGGGGGGGGCGTGGCGGAGAGAGGGTGGAGGGCACGTACGGGGAGGAAAGGGTGGACCACGACCGCACGGCAGCAGGCACCGAGGGGGCGAGCAGACGTGCGGTTGCCGGTGGGGGGAGACAGGCGGCGCAATGTAGGGGACGTCGCAGCAGCACGCGCCCGCGCAACATCATGGTGTGTGTGTGTTGGTTCTTCTGGTGCTCGGCTCTCTCTCTCTCTCTGAAGATGCACTGTTGCCGGTGTACAACTGTACAACTGTGCGTTCCGGTGCGTCAGGCTGGCATCACAGCAAACAAGAAAAACTACAGGAAATGGCAATGTGCAGGAAAAAAAACAAAAGAAATTGCCTGGCGTTTGTACAGCCTATCACCAACGGCACCAGCGTCATGTCGCCGACCACGACAGGGCGGCTCAAGCCTGGTGGAGCTTGTCGGCGGGGAAAGAAGAAGAAGAAGAAGAGGAAGAAGAGGCAGCGACGACGGCGGGGGCGGTTGTGTCGTTGAAGGCCGGCGGGAGGGGCAGGAAGGCCTGGACGTAGGGCCGCAGCGCGTTCTCCAGGGGCAGCGGGAACGGCAGCACGGGCGGCAGGAGGCCCAGCGTGTTGGCCAGCATGGCGACCGACACCGCCGCCAGCGGCAGCCACACGAAGAACAGCTTGAAGAGGGCCCACACCCAACTCCAGAAGCCGCCGCCCTGCCCTGTCGCCTCGTCTTCCAGGTCCCACTCGAGGCCATCATCATCGCCGGCGGCGGCTTCGTCGAGGGCGTGGGTCAGCTTGACGAGGAACTCCTCGGTGATGTAGTCGCCGGCCGGAGGAGCGGTGGTGGTGGAGGCAGCGGGCGAGGGCTGGATGGTGTTGCCGAGGTGGTCGTGGAGGTCGCCGAGAACGGTGTGCACGCCGCGGAGCTGGCCGATCAGGCCCTCCACCCGCGCACGGAGCAGGCGATGAAGCTTCCAGTATCGCCACAGCTCGGGCAGGGCGTCGTGCGCAGGTGGTCCCCCAACACCAGCTGTCGGCCCCGTGGGGTCAGCGTCGGCGGGGGGCGTGAGAGCGGAGAGGGCGAGCTGCATGAAGAGGACGCGATCCTTGAGGTGGGCGTTGACTCGTCGCATGGCGTAGAGATCTTTCTCGAGGGAGGCCACGCGGCCGGAGAGCGAGGGGAGCGAGAAGAGCGGCGGGAGGAGGAAGAAGACGAGCGCGAGGAGGAGCACCGCGCCGGCCACGGTGCTGAGGGAGAAGGGGAGGCGCGGGATGGGCAGGTTGGGGAAGGCCATGTGGATGAGGGACTCCAGCATCGACTCCTCCTCCCGCGGAGAGGAGGGCAGCGAGGTGAAGCCCGTGTCGAAGGTGCCGGGGGAGACGGCCCCGTCTTCCTCCCCCAGAGCCGAACCCGAGACGGAGGCCAGAGCTGGGGGACCCTCCTTCTCCTCGTCTGCTGCGCGCCGCCGGGACTTGCGAAGCTTCGAAGGCGTCTCGCCGCCGGGCGTAGCCGCCGTTCGCTTCGAACTCCTGTCGAGGCAGGCGGTCAGCCCTTATGTGCGAGTGTCCAGGAGGGAAGAGGGCGCACGTACCGGGTGGAGGCGCCCTTTCGCGGAGTACGCTTGGCGGTGGGGGAAGCGGGGGTGGCGGCCGCGACAGCGCGGGCCTTACGGGCGAGCAGACGCTGGGCCTTTTCGGCCCAGGCTGGGAAGTAGGTGCTGACCCCATCCACGGCACTGCTTTGGATAACACCTGCACGCTCCACACATGAATAGTCTGCGGCGGGTGGCGGGCCGGTAGTGCCACCAAGGTGGAAAGTTACCCTTGATCCAGACCGACTTGGTGAACTTGATGTCAACGTTGACGGTAACGCGGGTGGCCGGCTTCCCACCGGGACCGGTGGCGGCGCTCATCACCCAGCGCGTGTCGGTCGAGAACGTATCTCCGTAGGGCACATCAAGGGAAGCCGACGTTGTTTCCATCACCAGGGTGCTGTTGTTGTCCAGACAGCACAGACATCAGACGGCGGTTAACTAAGCACGATTTATAAGGTGTAAGAATTGGCGAGTGTGTACTCTTTGTTCATGTAGTGGATACGCTGTTCCTGCTGGACTCGGGTGCTCTTCGGGCCTGCCAACACACAGCAGCTTCGTTTAGACACGTACTCGAGGAAAGGGAGACAGAGTAGTACGTCACGAACCTAGTGGATGCTTGAGGGCAACGCGGAACCCGACGCTACGGCGTAGGCAGCAGTTCTCGGCTTGCGGGCTCCATTGGCCCATGCTCACCTCCGTATAGCTGAGGGGCTCCTGGGTGTGCAGCTCGTTCCTGTGTATGCATGTGCGACCGGGGTGTGATGTCAGCACATGACATTAAGATGCCCCGGCGGTGATTGAGGGCTGGAGGCCGTACCAAAAGACGGGCACGTCGGGGTTCTTGTCGTCAAAGAAGGTGTAGAACATGTCCCCGACCGCGACGGGCAAGAGCACGTTGACCATAGACTGACCCGCGGTCCACCCGGCCGAAATATGGGAACACGTCTCTAGCACAGGTACTGCCGTCTGGGCGACAACCGGCGGCGCCTCTGGTGGCTTTCCTGCTATGTGCACGAGGCCTCGTGAGATGCGCCGAGGGGAACGTGGAAGCTCGATGCCGTACCTTCATCCGCCTTTTCCTTGTCTTCTCTTCTCTTTCTTCGGCTGCCGCTGCCGCGTTCGGCTTTCTCCTCGCCCTGATCCCCGCCCTCTGCCTTTTCCTTGTTTTGGGCGTCATCGCTCTTTTGCGCCGCTGCGGCTGGTTCTCGGTCGCCGCCTTCGTCCGAGGCTTTGGTGTCCGACTTGGCGGCGCCACCCTCGGTGGCGGTAGTGGCGGTGGCGGCACTCATCGGCGACGTGGAGTGTTCGGGGTCCTTGAGGCTCGGCTCGCGTTGTTCCTCGAGTGAGGAGGGGTGGCCGCCCTCTTCATCGGGCTTGTTAGCCGCATCCTCGCTATCACTAGCGAAGTCCTTCAACTCGATGTCCTGATTGTCGTCCATTGGTAAGGGCCACGATTCGGGAAAGGCGGAACGATGTCATGGCGATAAAAGAGAGGAGAAGCGGGGCGTACCTTCTTTAGCTCCGCTTCGGGGTTCTCGCCTGACCCATCGTCCGCACGGAGCTTGTTGATGGGCCACCCCACCGAATTAACCCAACCTGCACCATGTTCGTGAGACAGAGATCATACAAGGACACAAGTACGCGTGAGGGAGCGGGTAATGTGAACGAGTAGCGGCGCACCGTTGACGTTGTGCGAGATGTTGGCCGACAGATTGCGCAGTGCCGAGTTGCTTGGGGGCTGTGCGGAAGCAAGCACGCGACAGTGGTCAATTGACGCTGTCCCAGCTGGAGCCATACAAGGTTCAATTCACGACAGGCCCGAGGGGAAGGGTAGAGTCGTACGGAGGGTTGGGTGGAAGAGGTGGAAGAGGTGGCGGAGGGAGGAGAGACCGACTTGGCGCTGGGCGCACCTACGAGGCGATTGGGCATCGATTGTTAGGCCTATTCCCCATCACACCATCCGAAGCAAACCGTGGGAGTAGATAAGCACCATCGTCAGGCGGGGCGAGGGAGACGCTTTCGGCCGAGGCGTAGGGAGAAGAAGTCATCACTACTGGAGTAGGGGCGGAGCGTGGCAGGATAGGGGGCGCTGCGTCATCGGTCGCTTCTCCCTCGCTGGAGCTACCCTCTTCCTCGCTCTCCTCCTGGTCTTCATCTTCGGTGGAGGCTTCGGATACAGCTTCGAAACTGGCTTCGCGAGCGGCGTCTTCTTCGTGCTTCTTGCGGGCTTCCTTAACTGCCAAAGACTTGAAGACCCGGTTCCGTTTCGACTCTGTTGTGGGTCGTAGTGGCCGGTTATTATAAGAGGCGAGCGGGAGGTGGCGGTGGGGCAAGCAGTACCTTCCCACAGGTCGGCCAGCAACTTGTAGGCCTGGTCTCGGTAGAGGAAGGACGCAAACAAAAACTGCACCACATGGGAGGGACGCGGAAGATGTCAGCAAGGCCAGGTAGCGCTGCCAGAGCAGGTGTAGTGGAGGGAAAAACCTTTCGGTTCTTGGCGGTCAACTCGAGAGCGTTAGGGAACACGATGGCCGTGTTCTTCTTCTGTACGTCTTGGATGTCCTTGAACTCCAGGATTTTCTGCAGCAGCAACAACAACGACATCACGTGAACCCGAGGAAACGAAGGAGCAACGTAGAGGAGACTAGCAGAGCAGCGTACGATGGTCTTCTTGAATATCTGGGAGTGAAAGCAGACGTAGTTGCGCGAGACGTACATGCGGCCATGATACAGCAGCTTGTCGCTCTGGTAGGCGCATGAGAAATCTGCAAGACAACACGTGGCTCCGTTAGTCGAGTCTGTTCTCCCTCCCCACAACAAAGCTCGAGCAGACTTTCGGGGCACGGCCGGAGCAAGCAAAGGAGGGTTCAAGGCATACCTTCGAGGAGCTCCTCGTGTGTGAGTTCGAATATTTGGTTGAATTCGTCCTGCCGCTTGTTACGGGCTGCAGACCCTGTGGGCGCCCGAGACACCGATCCTTGGCTTCGCCTTAGCGTGGCCTGCATTCACCACACCCCACCGTAATACAGAGTATTACAGTGTCGTTAGGGGTGCAGCACTTCGCCACGTCGAAGTTCGTGCAGAAATAATAAATCAATTGAATTAATGATGTAATAAAATAAAGAGATGGAGGGGGCATGCCTCGTCGTCGGCGTTCATGTTAAGAGATTAGGCTTGGGGCTTGAGTGCCTATTGTGTTACAGATGATGAGAATCATCATATATCACAGCAAAAGGCGCAGTAAATTTCCAGGTCCACCAAGGGTACGTACGTACTAACGTAGGAGGGTGACTTGGGGAGGGGGGACAAGATGTCGTGTGTGCAGAGAATGGGATTAATGGCGAGTAGCGGCGAAGGAAAAAGAATCTGCGGGCGGCAGCAGCTGCGAAATTCGCAGGCTGTTTTTCTGGCTTTGCGCGAAGCGGCAGCTGCACCCCAAAAATTTGGCATTGGCAGTTTGTTCGCGCAGTTTGTGGGCCGCCACGTCACGCCGAGCTCCTCCAAACGCGCCCATTCGCTGGCTGGGCGAACAAAAAGCGTGCACGTGTGGGTGGCTCGTGTGCGAAAGTTTCTTAGTGAGTTCCAGCACTAGAAGCGCCGGCGCCCACTAAGGCCCACCAGCTGCTCTTGTCCGGCTTGCGCTGTCGACTTTGCCGTGGTGATCAGGAGAGGACGGCGTAGACCGGGCCTCCCTTCTTCTTCTTCTTCTTGTCCAGCGCCTTCTCCTCCTTCCTTTCCTTGATGTCTCGTTTCTCCTTCGCTGTTGCCTTCTTATTTCGCTTCACGTCGTCTCCTCCGCCTCCTTCCCTCGCCGCCTTGCTATTCACATCGCCAGCGCCATCGCGGTCGTCTTCCATCGCCGACGCGTCGGCGTAGTTGTCGCTCCCGTCCGTCCCCTCGGGCGACGTCGTGTGGCGTGACCGCGACTCACTGCTCTCCGCGCTCCGCTCCTCCTCCTCTTCCCTCTCCTCCTCACTCTCCGTCTCCGTCTCCTCCGTTTCCGTCTCTTCGCCCGCCGGTTGGTCCTCCTTGGGGAGGACCGGGCTGGGCTCGACTAGATCGATGTAGTTGGTGTCGTGGATTGCCTGTTCGTGCTTTCGCCGTCGCTTGGAGCCGACTTGGTGGCGCAGGTCCTTGGAGTTGCTCTTGGGGATCATGCTGGATAAGCTCCACGCGGGTTTCATGGCCCCGCCCTTGGTGCGGTCAGGGGTGACGGACGACGACGAGGCGCCGGTGTCGGTGGGGTACTCGCTCTCGGTCGCCACGGCGGAGCTGTCGTCGAGCCCCGAGCGCTCGCCTCGGGTCTTCATGAGCGGGAGCAGGTTGTGCGTGATCGTCTTGGCGTAGCTCAGCACGCGCTCACCTCCACCGCTCTCGCCCTTGGCCTGCTTGTTCTTCTTCTTCCTCAGCGGCGTCAGATCCACCTCTGACACACCCACCACCCAAAACTAATATGTCGCACGACGCACACAAGTCAGACCAGAGCCCGCTTCAGACACGCACAGAGAGGAAGTCGCGTGCCTCCTTGACGGCGAGGTAGCCGAGGGACGAGCGTCGCTCGGCCGAGGCGGGCTTCTTGGTGCCGGGCGACGTGCGCGTGCCGCGACTGCCGTTGCCGCTGCCCAGCACGTCCTCCGTCTTCCGTCGCAGACGGCTCAGCGGGTCCGACCCCTCGCTCTGGGGTCCTCCTCCCTGCTGCCGCGACTGCTTGTTGCTCTTGCGTCCTCTCTTCCCCTTCTTCGCGCTCCCCTTTGGGCTGTTGTTGGTGTCATCGTCGTCGTTATCGACTTCCTTCTCCTTGCCCTTGCCGTTGACGATGTCCTCGTACTCGCCCTTGCCGCCCTGGGACTTGCCGCCAGTCCTGGGCTTGGACTTGGCCGTCGTATCCGCGCCAGAGGCGTGGATGTGGACCTCCTCGTAGTTGCCCTCGCCGCTGCGGTGGATGGAGACGCTGTGCTCGCTGCCGCGGGCCATAGGCAGACCCACCACGGCCGAGGAGAGCTGGTGCTGCTGCGCATCGACCGGGCGCCCGATGGGGAACTGGGGCGACTTCTGGTAGTTGGCGAAGCGCCGCAGGGTGGCCCGGAATGTGCCCAGCAGGAGGTCCATCTCCTCGTCTTCGTTGTTCTTCCACTGCCGACCCACACATCGCACACGATGAGTGGCTGCCACGTGGAGGGGTCAAAGTAAAGAGGAGACCCAGAAGTACCCAAATATCAAAGTCGAGGGGCGTGTCGATGGACGGCACTTTGCCGATGTCTAGCACCATCGGCCGCCATCGGTCCTGCCGCACACTGACCCCAGCCACACACTCGTTAGACCATCTCCCACCCTCCCATTACCGCGTGAATAATGCCTGCTGGCAATGCGTACGTCTCCGGCAGGATAACTTCCGTCTGGGCGGCCAGCACGCCCTCCTCCACATTCCACACCTTCACGAAGCACCCTGCATCATATACCAAATGCGTTCGTCAACATGTTGAGATGTATTGAGATCCAATCAGAGAGCGCACATAACATATATAGATAAAGTAAAAACGTTGTACCGTGGGGCATCCTGGCGTGGGGGAAGAGTGGAGGGGGCGCGAGCAGGAGGGGCGCCAGGGTGACGTGGTAGCCCTCGATGAACTCCAGGGCCTCCTGCGCCGATATGGGGCGGAAATAGCACACCTTAAGCTTGCCCGAATGACGGTACCCGATCCTGCGCGATGCCTGCGTGTTAGCTAACCCAGCCCTACCAACCAAGCACCTCCTGTGGTGGTGGTGGTGGCGGTGGTGGTGGGCAAACCAGTCAATTTTGGACGGGTTGACAAAGAAGTAGGTGTCGAGCTTCTCCGATGTCAACTCGACGAGCGAGGCCTCGAATTGGCCGATCAACTCGTCCTCACCTGCGCGCAAGCGGGAGAACGAGTAGATGAGCGTGTGTCGTGTTGTTGGTAGCGTCGCGTGTTGCATGAAGAAAACGTACCGGAGGCGGCGTAATTGCGGCATTCGATGACGATGTTCTGTCGGATGCCTCCGCAGTCAGCCACGGTGAGGGCGAAGGGCTTCCAGTGGGGCTCCTCGGTCTTGATGTCGTGCTCCGTCTGGAAGATCACCCGATTGCCGCCCCATGCGCCCGTGCGAATGCGCAGGAATGGGTCTGTTGTAATAACAAACCGCCGTCGCCGTCGTTAACCAAGTCGCGCCGGCGGCATATTTCTAGATGGGAGAGAAGAGTACTGGGAGCGGCGCTGATGGCCTTGGCGAGGCCCCGATTGTCGAGCTTGGAGGCCGACATGTCCAAGATGAAGGCCTCCGGGATGAGCTGCGGCTCGTCCAAATCCTCCGGAATCGTCTGAAACGAGAGAGAGAGAGAAAGAGAGGCGAATGAGCCCCGTTGTGCTGGTGGTGGAAGGGACACTGGTACGAGCGTACCTCGATGGCCTCCACGTAGAGGATGCCCGAGTGGCGGTAGGGTACGCGCACGCTCATGCCCGTGAACTCCTTCGCAAAGTCGCTCAGCACGGGCACCTCCCTGGTCGACGACGCCTCCGCGTATATATGAGCGAACGCGTACATAGCTACACCTACGCATGTGGGAGCCGGTACGCACCGCTCCTTCTTCTCCTTGTTGATGAGGGTGAACTGGTAGCGCGTGCAGGTGAGGAAGTCCCGCATGCACAGCACGGAACTCACCCCGATCAGCTCATGCCGCCCGTTCGCCTGCCAGTTCCAGCACTCGATGACGATGTACTCGTCGAGCCAGGGCTGCTGCTGCTCCACCTCGCGCGAGGGATGCAGGATTTGCTGCCGCCGCCAGCCGTAGTAGTACTTGCCCAGCGCCCCCACCTGCGTATAGCGTGCCCCCCACCAACACCAGCGACGTCAGCCTCGCTTGTGCGCTCGCGGGCCAGGGCGAGTAGGCGCACGTGATCGAGTTCGAGGAGAATGGGCTTCCATCGGGGCTGCACGGTTCCTTTGACCACCTCGGTCCGATGCACGACCCCCTTATACACGCCCCGCCCAGTGTAGGTGAGCGACTGGGCCAGGACTAGAGGTGGATTTGGGAGGGGGGGGGGCAAAGAGAGGCGCCGTGTACCTGGGCGGTCTTGAAGAGGAGGAACGAGTGGGAGGAGCTGACTTTGGAGATGTCCTTGGCGTCGAGCTTGTCTCCGCGGATGACCATCTCGTAGCCGCGCGGCGGCTCCCCGCTCCATCGCAGGTCCCGCTCCTCCGTGACCGACATGAGCTGCACCTTGCCCGAATCCTTGTACTTGCCCCGCAGCGAAAACGACTGACGTCGCCAGGGTCACCACCGTGGTCAGTCAGCCAGGCGATGCGGGACTTCGCCCAGGCATACGTAGGTTGGGGAGGGGGAGAGGAGGCGTACATTCTTCTTCTTGGGGTTGATGAGCGGAGCTTCGAAGCCGGGGGTGATGAGCGTTTCGAATGGCACGGACGCCTGGCCCACGAGATGCACCTCTCCGTCTCGCCAGTCCCACACCTGCGCCACGTCATGTCAATGTCATGGCGCGAGCGTGGGTTGGGTGCGTTTCATTCACAAGCCAGCTTGGGCAGAGACCCAGTGGTGGTAGTAGGGAGTAGTTGTGGTACCTCGACGCGAAGGACGGTGTTGGAGATGTCGCCCGCGCCGATCCTCTCACGGTGTAGCACGAACGCTTCCCACACCGGCTCTGTCGTCATCGCCGCCATCGCATGAGCTTAATCCTCCAAAGATGAGCAGAGAGAGGGTTCACCAGTTACCTGTGGCCTGTTTAATCACCTCGGTCTTCCACAACGGGCGATTGCCGAGGTAGAGCGCCAGACATACATCTGACACAAACCAAAAGGCACAACACAATAAATTAATTAATATAAATATGTTGTCAAAATAATTGTGTTTAAATATTCAAATCCAGCACGGACCTTGCCAAGCATTAAAACAAAATAATACTGGCGGCCCACTATTGGGGGGGGGCACAAAAGAAGGAGGAGGCTTACCGGGGTGATGGTACAGAGAGGCGAGGCGATCGCCTTTCCTCTTGCGCAAACCCGCTGCGCCGAAGGTGAGGCGGTAGGCCGAACAGGGCGACGACATCGAAGCCTGAAGCTTCTCCTCTTCGCTTTCGTCTCCGGACGTCGATGAGAACCCGGCGGACGAGCGCAGATCGTCGTCATCGCTGTCCCCGCTACGATCCATCTTCGGGGTGAGCCGGTGTTCGTTTTCATTTATTTATCGAAACTTCATTTCTGATCTTTTGTGCCGACACTGGAGATATTTGAATCTGTGGAATGCGGAGCATACCAGCACAAGGAAGGTTTCCTCGAACGAAAAACAGTTACCAAAACGTAAATAAATCAAACAAAAAAATTAAGAAAAGATGGACGTAGAGGAAGGAGACCCTACCATGCCGTCCCCAGAGGGGGAGGAAGAGTGCGCACTTCTTTTAATGATTTAAAGAGCTTGTAGTTAGCGTACGATTTTACAATTAACATTAAAATTAATTGCACAAATTGATGTCATAGGAATGACCAGGTGGCAGACACTATGCGCGTGCTTGTAGCTACGGATATCCACTTGGGGTACGCAGAAAAGGACCCGGTAAGAGGGGAGGACTCGTTCGTTACTTTCGAAGAGATCCTTCAAAATGCGCAGCAGCTCAAGGTGCTGTTCTCCGCCCTTTCAATTCTTTCTAATTAAAAATAAATAAATAACAATAATAATAACAAGTAAATTGAAATAGGTGGACATGGTGCTGCTGGGTGGCGATCTGTTCCACGACAACAAGCCCTCCCGCAAGTCGCTCTTCCGGTGCATAGAGCTTCTCCGTCGCTACTGCATGGGCGACAATCCGGTCAAGATACAGATCCTGTCCGACCAGGCCCTCAACTTTCACACCTCGTACGTCCTTTGCTTCTTCTGCTTCTTCTTCTTCTTCTTCTTCAATGCTTTGCCCTTTGCATTCAGCCCCACTGACCCAGCGCGCACAGGTTCGGCGTGGTCAACTACGAGGATCCCAATTACAACGTGGGCATTCCCGTCTTCTCCATTCACGGCAACCACGATGACCCAGCTGGGGTAAGCATCAACTGCACTTGTATTCCCGCAAAGGGGACTCTATCTCGACCATTGGCGCCCGACACTGACGCCTGGGTGGGTTCGGGCAGGACGGGGGCCTGGCTGCGCTGGACGTGCTCAGCGCGTGCAACTTGGTGAACTACTTTGGCAAGAGCGAGAGCGTCGACGACATCACGGTCTACCCGATCCTTGTCGCCAAGGGCAAGACCAAGGTGGCCATCTACGGCCTCGGGAATGTACGCGACGAGCGGCTCTACCGCACCTTCCAGCAGAAGAAGGTGAAGCTCATGCGACCTGTGGAGGACCGCGAAAAGTACTTTTCTTCCCACAGCCCCGATCGATCGTGGTGTGCGCCGGTGCTGCTGATATTCACACCCACCAATCCCCGTTCGCGTGGCTTCCGATATATGTCAGTTGGTTCAGCATGTTGGTGCTTCACCAGAACCGCGTGGCGCATTCGCCCAAGAACTACGTGCACGAGTGCATGCTGGCCAATTTTCTCGACCTCGTCCTGTGGGGCCACGAGCACGAGTGCCTCATCACCCCGCAGTCCTCCTCCGTGGGCGACTTCTTCATCGTGCAACCCGGTGCGTCGCTCGGCCCCTCGCTCCGCAGCTGCGTTGGTCTTGACGTGGTGGTCATTCGCTGATGGGCCCCATGACATGCCGCATTGATGTGCAGGCTCGTCGGTGGCCACGTCCCTCTCCGAGGGTGAGTCGAAGAAGAAGCACATCGGCCTACTGGAGATTTACGAGGACCAATTCAGGCTGCAGGCGATCGAGCTCAAGACCGTGCGGCCGTTCGTGATGGAGGAGGTGGTCCTCAAGGAGGCCGATCTCGACCCCGGCGAGCCCCAGCACGTGATCGAATACCTGGCCGAAAAGGTCGAGGAGCTCATCGCCAAGGCCGACAAGCAGTCGCCCCACGCGCCCCGCACGCCCACCAAGCCTCTCATCCGGCTCAAGGTACGCGCTCGTCTCCCGCTCTTTCGTGCGCCTCGGCGGGTGCTGAATGTGAGAGACAGGTTGAGTACTCGGGCTATTCGACGGTCAACCCGCAACGGTTCGGCCAGCGGTTTGTTGGTCGGGTGGCGAACCCCAACGAGATCCTCCTGTTCCACAAGAAGCGGGGAATGAACCCGCGAGCCCGAGTCGACAAGGAGCAGGACGTAAGTGAACAAGCTTAACTTCTCATTTATTTTTGTTTTTTTATTTGTTGACTTTTCGGTTGCTTGGAGCGCAACTCACGTACTACAACAGCTGTTGGCGCGAGCCACGAGGCCGGAGAATCTGGACGACACCCGGATCGAGGACCTCATCGGCGCCTTCCTCGGTCCGACGCAGACGCTGGAGATCTTGCCGGAGAACGAACTGCATCTCGCACTTCACAGCTTCGTAGAGAAGGATGAGAAGTCCGCCATCGCCGAGTACGTTCCCTCTTGCTAGTAATCTCTTGCTCGTGGCACTGTGTGTGTGTGTGTGTGATTACGACTCACGCAAACCTGCGCGATCTCGACAGATTCGTGGCCAAAACGCTGTCGGACACGCAGAAGTTCTTGCAAAAAGAGGACCCAGAGAAGACCCTGCAGACTGACTACATCGAAACCGTGGTGAACCAGCGCACGGCCAACGCGCGAGCTTCAGCAGGTAAGAGGCCTGCGCATCGCCATGGGCACACTGTGCGTGCTGCGTGTGTGCTCACTACACTACTGCCCTTTGCGCAGAGGACCATTCAATGGATGTGGAAGCAAAGATAGAGCAGATGAAGAAGAGACAAGCGAGCCAAGCACATGACGAGGAGGAAGATGGGGAGGCCAAGAAGGAGGAGGACGAGGAGAATGAAGACGAGGAGCCGCCCAAGGCCAAGGGCAAAGGAAAGGCAGCCGCGGCCAAAGCAAAGGCTGCCCCGGCCAAGGCAGCGACGAAGGGGGCGGGCCGGGGCAAGGCCGACTCAACCACCACCACGACAAGGAAGGCCCCCGCAACGCGACGCACCACCAGGAGCAATTACGCGCTGCAGTTGAAAGAGCCCGAACCGGCCGACGATACGGTAAGCGTCGCACATGATGACACGCGATACAACACAGCGCTCACCCATACATTCTTTGCTCCTACAGGGCGCGGCCAATGGAACTCGCAAGCGAACGCGCGATGCAGCAGCCGCGCCGGCGCCAGACAAGCCCAAGCCCATCGTCAAGCAAGAGGCTCCGGTCGAAATCGATGACGACGTGGCTCCTCCACCCAAGCAGAAGCGGCGCATGTACGCGAGACAGCCCACTTGCCTTCCCGCTGCCTTGATTGTGGCAATTTGGCACTCAACTTCCGATCTGACGTTGCGCGCGCAGTACTGCGTTGACAGACCTCCTATCTAGCAAGGCCGTCAAAGGAGATGACGACACGCAGGTTTGTCTGCCTTCTCTCTATCTTCTGGTGTGTCGCGCCTAACCAACCGAACGCACAGGGCAAGGCGCCAGCGAGCCCCGTGGCCCCTTCTTCTGACGCCTCGGGCAAGAAACTCACCACGGGTTGGGGCAAACGAAAGAAATAGTGTGCTCTCTCTCACGGCGGCCACGACACCCCCCTCCAGTGCAATGCCACCAACGTTCATAAAACTGCACCAACTCACAACTCAAGCAAGCAACAATAAACAGGTAAATCTCTTCTTATTTCCAATTGGAGGCCGTCCCTTACCAAATTCGGCTTTTCATGCCTCTTGCCGGCGTTGCTTTCTTTCGCTCCGAGGAACAAAAGAGAGAGTAGCTTCAAGAGAAGAAGAAAAGGAGGCCAACCCCCTCCCCAATCGCGTCTTTGGCTTCGCCCAGCGCTGTTCTGTCCGGCGGCATGGATAACGGAGGGCACAGACAGAACAAGGCGAGCACTGCGGCAAGCAGCTGGACCAAGGCCTGGGTGCCTGGTCAAGTAGTGTGGGCTTACCGAGGGCCGGGCAAGGGATGGTGGCCCGCCGTGGTAAGTTTGGCCTCACCTACCCAATTACCTGCTCTACGCTCAACTTTAGGCCACACCTCATTTTCTTTCCTGGTTACATAGGTGGGCAGCCTGAAGACGAAAACCTCCACCGATGGTGTGGCTACCCGAAGCACGTCTCCCACAAGCACGGAGAAGGGACACGTTCTAGCTCGTCTGCTGGGCATGGCAAAAGAGTACTTTTACTTGCCTCCATTTCCTCTGGCCAGCTGCACTCAAGACTCCTATTGTGCAGGAAGGAGACAGAGGGGCAGAACCTCCTCCCATTTGATGATCCGAGGCTGCCTGAAGGCCTCTGCGATGGCTTCATCAACGCAGCATGCAAGCGTGGCAACGGCAGCCAGATAGAAGACGCGATACGTGAAGCGAGAGCTCATGTAGCCAAACAGGTGAGCGCTTCCCCGAAGGCCAAACTACCTACCCAGACTGAAAACTGACTGTGCGTAGGGACGAGAGTTCAAGCAGATCAGCACCGGCGTGTGGAAGGACGTGTGCTGGAGATGCGATAACGGAGGAGACCTCATTTGCTGCGATCTGTGCCCCGGAGAGTACTGCTTCGCCTGTCTCGGGCTCACCCACGGCTCCGTCGAAAAGATCGAGGACTGGTACTGCGGCCGGTGTCGGTCAGTGATTGCCTTCCTCCTGGGCGAGCTGCTGTCGCTGTACAATAAGTACGCCTCCCCAATTGAAGTGCGGACTCGATCAAGACTTCTGACGGGCTTCTCGACAAGCAGGAAGGAGGCGAGCAACGAAGTCGCGGTGCTGTCGCTCAACCGTTTGAAGCGGAGGTTCAAGGCGCAGCGTTATGCGACCTTGGCTGCCTTCCAGGCCGATCTGGAAGACGAATCAGTGAAGAGTCCTGCCCACTCTCGTGCCATGGGCGAAGTGCGGGAGAGCTGGGACTGCCTGAGACAGAGACTGCAGGTAGCTGAGATACATCCCCTGTCCTCGTTGACCAGTTCATCCCGTTTACTGGTGTGGCCGCTACAGGGAACGTTCAAGATGCTCTCCCCTTGGGGCCAAGCAAGGCTGCCAGAAAGGGAGGAGCCCGCCAGCAGTCGCTCTTCTTCCATCATCACGAAATCGGTACGTACCTGCCAAGTGCTGCACAGACCAGTCACTAAATCTCTGGCAACCGTGCAGCCCAACAAAAGAATGCACGACGAAGGCGGGCACGGTGACAAGCTCCGTGATCTGGCGCGCGGCGATTCCAGGAAGCGCCATCGGGCAGATCGCCAGAGGTGGGTCGACCCCATTCCTTCTTCTTCCTCGCGGCCCACCTCGTCGCCCGTCGCGCCCTCACCCGGCCAAGATGCCGAGCTGCCGTCGCCGATCGTCCACTCGACCTCTGCCGCTTCCGGCCCGCTCCTCTCGCTTCAGCAGAACCTGCGCCTCATGCACTCCGTCGCCGCCGCCGCCGCCGCAGCCAGCGCCTCTTCACGAAGTGGTGCAGGACAGGTCGCAGGCAACGTGCCCATCCTGCCCCTCCCTCCCGGCCAGCAGTCGCCCGGCATGTTCATGTCCGCCCCGGCGCCCAACACCCGCAAGAAGCCCACCCCGCCCTCGCCCGCCCCCATTGTGCCGCTTCTCCCGCGCCCACTGCACCCGCTCGACGGCAGCGGATATCGTCACCGTCACCCCCACCTCCAATCCCACATGCAACCCTCCAGCGCCCAGACCCAGCCACAGCGCAGTAGTGGAGGCTACCAACAACATCAACCACAACAACAGCTCCAGCTTCATCAGCCGCCGCAGCAGCAACCGCAACCGGCGAGCCAGGCCTCGCCCGGCGTTGCGGGCACACCATCATCATCCGGCGCCCTGCCGCAGCCGCTGGAGGTGCGCAGCGTGAGCGTGGGCCCGCAGGGGGTGGGCCTGACGCTCAACGACAATCGGGTGATCCAGCTGCAGCGGGCGGAGGACCTCACCCCGCTCTACGCCCACGCGCTGGCCCAGCTGCGCGCCGCGTGCGACCTTCTCATCGTGCGCGACCGTGAGGTCGCGGTGCTGCGAGCTGCTGCGGCCAGCTCTTCTTCGCCCTCTACCATCGCCCCGATGCCCGACGCGTCCGCCCCTGTGGTGGTTGATCTCATCAACATCGAGGACGACGCCGACCACACAGCTTGAGGACGATGGATGATGATGCTGAACAAGACGACGGTGGTGGCATCGATCGGTTGCAGGGCAAGACGAAAAGAAAATCAGATAAAACAAAAATTATTTGCTTGGAAAAGGAACACGAAAATACCTGAAGGCACAAAAAGACAAAAAGAAGACTTCGTTGGGCGCCCCCAAGGTTCCGGCTCTCTTGGGAAGGCTACCATGGCCCACTCTTGGCATCGTGCCGTTGGCGGCGAACGCTGTACTGCGCTCCCTCATTATCATCGATTTCTTTCGTTTTTACACTCATTAATGGAAAGAAGAGAGATGGCACGCCGAGGTGGGTGCCGGCACTGAAAGCACTCACGGCTTTGGTGGGTCACAGATGCCGCGACGATGCAGCACGTGGCCGAGCGGAAGGGACTCCTCGACGAGGCCCAGCAGGGCATCCGCCAGCTCCTCCTCGCCGCCGACCCGTCCTCCACCCGCCCCGTCCTCTCTCGGTACCACCACACCACCCCGTGGGGCCTCTCGGTGCTCCCTGCTCCCAACCACCTAACCGACGATATGGTGCGCGGTGGTGCAGGGAGGAAGGGGTGACCCGCTTTGCCGAGGCCATGGAGGCCGTCCTGCGGCACGGGCTGCTGGCACCGCGCAAACTCTCTTCGTCGTCTTCCTCCTGTACCCCTCCACTTTTTACCTCTGTGTGCGGGTTGTGGTGTGTGGTGTGTGGTGTGTGTGTGACCGAACGTGTAGCGTTATGGTCCTCATCGATTTATACGCATGCGGTGTGGCGTATGGTGACGTGGCAGGGGGCGAGGAGGACGAGGTGTCGGTGTGGGCGGCGATGGAGGAGGTGCTGCAGCGCCAGTGGGCGCTCGAGATGCGCGCCCTCGTGCAGGTGCGCACCGACAACGGACGAACGCGCGCCCTCCTGCGCGCCGCCCTCAACGGCAAATACCTCGACCACCTCCTACGCGCCCTCCTCCCGACCGCTCCGTACCCATCCTCCTTCAACACCACGCACACGCACACACGCACACACGCACCATCGGACACGGGGTGCTGATGGTGGACACGATGGTGCGGTTGGTGGGCAGGCGTTGGTATGCGGAGTATGCGCTGCTGAGGCAGACGGAGGAGGCCGAGATGCTGGTGGGCATGCTGGGCGGGCTGGCCGGCGTCGACTTCGCGCTCCCCATCGACAACCCGCAGCTCGACGCCCCGCGCTCCGCCTCGGCCTCCGCCGCCCTGTACGGCCCTCCCCCTTCGCTTCGCCTTAATGCATCGACGGTCTGCTGACGTGGCACTCTCTTTATTTAGGAAGAAGAGCGGGCACGACCTCCCGACACACAAGAAGAAGAAGGCGGCCAGGCGACGCGTCGTGGCCATCGACGTCGACGACGGCCTCCACCCGCCAGCGCGGCCCTCTGCCGACTCCTCCGCTGGTGTCTCCTTCACGTACGCTTCTTAGGCGCAAGACACGACACACGACACGCCATACACGGCATGACGCACGACACGACACGAGTGTGTAATGTGCTGATATCGGGGGGGGCTGCACACAGGGAGCTTGCGCCGAGCGAGGTGATGGCCCTCATTGACGGCCCGCCGGCGGACTACGAGGACGAGGCTGCCGCCGACAAGGACGCGGGCGGGACCCCGGAGAGAGTGGAGGACACGGCGGTGAAGACCGGGGCTGCCACCATCAGCAGCAGCAGCGCGCCGGCGCCGGCAACTGTCGACGACGAAGCGCCGATGGACAACGGAATGCAACGAGCGCGGTCCAGTTCGGTGGAGGACTGGGAGAAGCACGAGCTGGAGATGGAGGCCCTCCTCGCCTCCCTCCAGACCGACATCATCGACATCGACACCGGCGACGGCGACGGTGGCTCGCGAGTGGAGCGCACGCCATTGCCGCCGCCCACTGCGAGCGCCGACAAGGCACCGCCGGACGTCATCGCCGCGCCGGCGCCCCACACCGAACGACACGAGCCACCCGTGGAGCCTGGCGAGGCGATGGCAAACCAGCGCAGCCACGACCACACCGACGAGCTGGAGCACACGAACGAGTGGGTGCGGAGCGCAAGCGACGGCGACGGCGACGGCGGTGGCGTTGGTGCGATGAGCGCCAAAGAGCGGGAGATCGAGGAGCTGCAGCGCAAGCTGCGCGAGCTCGAGGAGCGCCTGACCGCCGGCAGCAGCGACAGCCCGGCCGGCTCGCTCCTGCTCCCGTCGCTCCTGCCGCCCTCCTTCACCTCGACCCCCGCTCACCGCCCCGCCTCATCCCTCCGCCCCCTGTCCGCGTCCCATTCTCCGTCGTCACTACCGTCACTGTCGACACCTGCGTTACCCTCGGCCCCGTCGCCCTCCTTCGCGGCCGCCTCCCAACACAACCACCACCAGGCGAGCCCCGGGTCGTCGCCGCCGGTCCCGCCCTCGTCGGCCGCCTCGCCCTCTCGCGCCCACCCGCCGCCTCGCCGGGCAGGTGCCGGCAGCGGCGACACCCGACTGGCGGCGGAGGTCATCGACGGACTGCT